GTCCAATTCGTTTATCGCGATTTTGATCGAAGCAGTGAACGCTAGTTTTGACCAGTTTTTAAAGCAGAAAGTAGTGTGTGAAGTGAAGAATAGATTTTATTTTGATCAGTTTCCTGTTTACGTCGCTACCTATCCATAGGTTATTTCAATGCATGAGATTGTAACATATGCGAAAACTAGTAGCTAGTATTCGCTTGTGTAAATATAAATTCTATAATTCTATTGTTCAAAATGTTATTATGATGATGTAAACTTTTTTTTAATGGATTTTATGACCTGGTAACTAAGACCTTTAGGTCATGTCTTATTTTAATTTTTATTCTTATTTTTAAGATAAATGATAATATGGAGTGAAATGAAATGAAGATGAATAATTTGGGACATTAATCAACAGGGATGAAATTAAATGAAATGATATGGGATGAAATATAATCTCAGTAAAATGATATTTTTTCAATGGACTTTTTGGAGGATCCCGAGAAGTTACGTCCAGCATCTTTGTTTCATTTTCCCACATTTGTGCACTTTCACAGATATTAAACTGTTAATAACCCACCGTTATTACACATTTAAACCTGAAGAAACACAAAATAGACAAAATAAAAATAATCACACACCTTCACTTTTCGCGTCCCCGCCAAAAACTTTGTAAGCATTAAAAACAGTGCCGCATTTTTTATTTTTAAGGATTTTATGACCTGGTCACTAAGACCTTTAAGTCATGTCTTATTTTAAGTTATATTCATAATATTAAGAAAAATGATAATATGGAGTGAAATGAAATGAAGATGATTAATTTGAGGCATTAATCACCTGGGATGAAATTAAATGAAATGATATGTGATGAAATATAATCTCAGTAAAATGTGATTTTTTCAATGGACTTTTGGACAATCTCGAGAAGTTACGTCCAGCGTCTTTGTTTCATTTTCCCACATTTGTGCACATTCACAGATATTAAACAGTTAATAAACCACCGTTATTACACATTTAAACCTGAAGAAAGACAAAATAAAACTAATCACAAAACTTCACTCCTCGCGTCCCCGCCAAAAAGTTTGTAAGTATTGTAAAAACAGTGTCGTATTTTTTTGATGAGATTTTATGACCTGGTGACTAAGCCCTTTAAGTCATGTCTCATTTTAATTTATATTCTTATTTTTATGAAAAATGATAATATGGAGTGAAATGAAATGAGATGAAATATAATCTCAGTAAAATGGTGGTCATTTACTGAGATTTTTTCAGTGGACTTTTTGGAGGAGCCCGAGAAGTTACGTCCAGCGGCTTTGTTTCATTTCCCCACATTTGTGCACTTTCATTAAACAATTAATAAACGTTGTAAGTAATGACGTGTTTTGCGCGACGTCGACTGATTACCATTCGGTCTACAGGATCGCGTATGTAGTTTCCAGCGGCCACGACAAGAGGGTTCTCATGTCGTGCCACCTTCTCAAAGTGGCGCAATGATGCCGACTGTAGATACTTACTGACCGAGTCAAGTTCCAGGTCATTATGGAGATCCACGTTCCTGAGGAACCATGGTGCTCCGACGGCTATCCTGCAAAATCGGGATTGAATAACCTGAAGGGTTTTCAAGTTTGTGCGGGCCGCGTGAGCGAACACTAGGCTTGCATACGTCATGACGGGGTGTATGCGTTTTTTTTTTATTGCTTAGATGGGCGAAAGAGCTCACAGCCCACCTGGTGTTAGTGGTTACTGGAGCCCATAGACATCTACATACATACAGACATCTACTTTAAAAGTTCTAAGGTCTCGTATAGGTACAACGGCTACCCCACCCTTCAAGCCCCAGAAATAGGCGGGGTGGTGGTACCTACCCGTGCGGACTCACAAAAGGTCCTACCACCAGTGATTACGCAAATAATAATTTTGCGGGTTTGATTTTTATTACACGATGTTCTTCCTTCACCGTGGTTTGTGGAAGTCAATCATGAACATTTGTAGTTTTGTAGAGAGTTACCTTATTACGGAGGTAAAGTTTGCTTCGCTTGCAAAGCATAGCATAATATGAAGGCGGCACGGTCGCGAACCGTTTTGATATGGGGACGGAGTGTCATCCCTCTGTCGAGGGTGACGCCTAGGTATTTGACCTTCGAGGCCCATGGTATGGGCTGGCCAAAGAGTAATGGGGCTAACGGCGGAGGTGTTAACGCGCCTATTAAGGAGTGGGATGCTCGAAGTGGTATTCGGAAGGCGACCACTTTTGAAGAGCACCGCTGTGCTTTTCGTGGCGTTGGTGTCAATGCGCCACTTCCGGAACCACTGTCCCATGGTGGTTACTGCGATCTAGAGTCGCCGATGCAAAAGCGACTTCTTCCTACACGAGTAGTAGATAGCCGTGTTATCGGCGAAGAGCGCTAGATGGGTCTCCGGAGACCGGGGTATATCACTGACATACAAACTAAATAATAACGGGAAGGGCGCGGAGCCTTGCGGGACTCCGGCCGTCAGATGACGGGGGCGAGAACGAGTTCCCTCTACTCGATATCGAAACGAATGGTTCGACAAGAATAAAAAGTGCCGCAGCATTAAATACAGCACAGATAATACCATAGATATATCATAGATCACTTAGGATATAACAATACGACGTACCTATATTATAGGTCCGCACATATGAAATTGGCGCTTTGTACGGGAGGAATATAAGGAAGGAAGAAAGGAAGGTTCGAGAATTGTTTCTCAGAGAGTTAGCAGAGTCATCTTATTGATAATATTTGTTTATATATGTTTTTATATGTATATATTTATGATACCTATGTATATGTATATATTTATGTATATCTATATATTTATGTATATGTATTTATTTAAGTACGAGTATTTGTATCTATAAATATTATGTATATTATATATACACATATGTTTAAGTAATATCACCTTCACACTACACCTACCAAGGTTCATCTCTGCACTCCCCTAAGGTAGACTGTTAGAGAATGCCTATGGCATTAAGTCCGCCTTTATACTTTCTAGTATATGAAGTTATAAATAAATAAATAAATAAATATAAAGTAATTTATTTTTTGTAAATTGTATTTAACTAATATGTAGTATGCACCGTTGTTATCTATGCACTTTTGCCATCTCATAGGTAGTTCATTGATCCCTTTACTAAAAAAACCATAGGAGCGAGAATCAATAAATTTTTTTAAGGCTGTTCGGTTTGGACTGCATGCCGCATCGGAGTTGAATTTTTTTCGTTGTAAGAAGTTGTTTATATTCCGGAAGAAATGGTAAATTGGAGCAAGGTCCGGAGAGTACGGTGGATGACGCAGACATTCCTATTGTAGCTCATCTAACTTAGTGGTTGTTTGTTGTGCAGTGTGTGGTCTTGCGTTGTCGTGAGCAGCAGTGGCCTAGAGCGATTGACCATACTCGGTTGCTTAACAGATACTTCTTCCTTTATGGTTTTCAGTTGCTGACAACAGATATCTGCCATACTCGTTTGGCCAGATTTTATAAAGCTGTAGTGAACGACACCGGCGCTAATCCACCACACACTCACAAGTAACTTTTTCTGAGTCAATTTTCGTTTAGGAGAGGATTTGGCTGGGTCTCCAGGGTTCACCCATTGCGAGGAGTGCTTCCGATTATCGTACAGTATCCACTTTTCATCACAAGTAATGACTCGATTTAAAATCCTTTCATAATTGTGTCGGTTGAGCAAAGTAACACAGCAGTCGACGCGTGTTTGCAAGTTCGATTCACTCAATTCATGAGATACAAATCGTTCAAGTTTTTTACTTTCCCGACTTGCTTTAAGTGGATTAATATAGTTTTATTACTTACCACGAAGCCTGCAGCTATCTCTGAAGTGCTTTGTGATGGAACCGTAGCCTTTAATTCTTCATTTTCTACTTTGGTCTCTGGCCGTCCACAGGGTTGGTTCTGAAGTCGAAATTTCTAGAACGAAAACGTTGGAACCAAAAACGTACCGTGCTTTCTTTTGCGATACCAGCGCCGTACACATAATTAATCCTTCGAGCTGTTTCTGCAGCACTGGTGCCACGGTAGACTTCGTACTCGTAAATATACTGATATTTCATGTTTTCCATTGTGCGGTAATAAACGACGCCAAAGAAAAAAAACAATCGCCAGATCTGTCTCACATGAAATTAGTATGGGATGGGCTGGATAGAAAAGTTAAGAACTGTTGTCTGTCAAACTTAGTACAGTTGTGGAAGAATTTACAAAGTATATGGAAATTACTGGACCCCCAATATTTTGGTAAATTGTCAAAAGAATCTTCGATCAACAGTTACAATTGTTGATCGAAGAAAAGATTGAATAAAATTTGTGAACAAATAAAAAAAAATTAGGGGTCAGTCATTTGACTAGCAAAAATGTTGTTTTTTTTTTATGTTATTATTTATTTGCATTAGGTAATTATATTTCACTAAATGATAGCTTCATTCATATTTTATTCAGATTTAAATGTAATAAATAATGACTGTGTTTTAATGACATTTTTATTTAAATTACCTTTGTGTTTCCAAACTGTCGTGGCGTGCAACCTCTTTGACAGGACATAAGACCTACAACAACTAAACACAAACTAATGACAGTCATTTGATAAGAATTCAAAAATAAAGAGAGAATCGGAACGAGGGTGTATGTGACTAACAGCTGGCAGTACTTTTTTTACTTCCTAAAAGACAAACACAAACCAGATGACAAGGAACAAATTGCCCGTTCTCATATGTACATAAAATAGACAACAACTAACCGAACGTTCACACACTTTTGGATGATATATGTATATAGCTATAGCTCTAATAAGCACAATTTGACCACAATAATGACTAAACAGACAGACTAAATTTATACATCTAAAGCATTCATCATCATCAAACTTTAGATATCCACTGCTTGATATAGGCCTGTTGCATGGTTCAACACAATGACATGTTCTGTGCCTATTTCGACCATCTGATTTCAATAACCTTCAACAGGAGAAATGTAAAAGTACTAAATAAGTTCCAAGCTAAATTTAATTATGATCTACTGATAACTAAATAGCATTATTTCTGTATAGGTTGTTTTCTTGTGAAGTGAAATTCTTCACGGGTGTGATATGGAGCATAAGGGTCTTCTACATAATGCTTAGGTCTCTTCCAGTATTTCGTCACCATTTTATCAAGTAAAGTGTTTTGTGTAGAGTTACAGAACACATGTTGCCTTAGCCTCCTTTTATTTGCAGATGATTTCTTCCATAATTTCTTGTGCCTTCCAATTTTAGTCCGAATCCAGCCACCCCAGTGCAGTCTAAAAAATCGCTTGATAACAGCCTTTACTGTTTTCCTTTTGCCTTTTTTTAAACTAAACTTTATAACCGATCTTGTTGGGGTAAAATCAATTTTCATTAAAATGTCCAATATTTGTTTGTTGGCTAGAAGTGAATTTTGAGGTAACAAGGATCTAGGTTGTATCTCTATATTCTTAAAGGCTGAGAAATGTCTGACATCTTTAGTAGTAAGCGTAATTGCATTGTGTAAGGGCGAAGCCGGAAGACATCGAGCATAGCGAACAGCTGAAAAATAAAAAAAATATTCATATGAAAAAGGAACACAATCTACTTAGACAGTAGAATACGGAGGAAATTAAGTAAATTCAAAGTTAATAATTTTATGGTAGTGAAATAGAGTTATTTATATACTATTCCTTACCAGTACTTAAAAAACGCAGCATTTTTACAAAAATGTTATAGTTCAAACATATTTTATGCAAAATTAAACTAACCACAACCTTTTGGGTTTAGAAAATAGAAATTAATGTGATAAAGTGGTTAGGTTCTTACATTCTTCCATACCGATAAATTAAGCAAATAAAACATAGCCAATACAGCCAAGTCTTTGAAAAAAAAATGTTTTTGCTAGAGATGTACACGAAAAATAAATGAACAACGAAAAAATATAAATTAATTAATATGAAATTGATTATGGACTAAACTAAAATAAAACAGGTATAAAAAAGAATCAACCGCTGAATAACTTAATTTTATCTTCTTGAAATTGTAGGAATTTATTGAAAGTTCGATAGGCTTTTTGAAAGAGCCAGAGAAATCACGTCTAACAGTTTTATTTCCTTTTCCTTCACGCATATTAACAGGTGCTAAACGGTTAATAAGCCTAGAACATTACACGCTAAACTTGAAGAAACAGTAAATGAATAAATATAGTATTGTACCGCAATCCTGTTTATTTCTGTAGCAAACCAGTGACATGTTCCGGCTGAAAGGGTAGGATAGTCGATATACAATACTGTTAAGACCACGATCTCATGTTACAAGGTGTGTGACGACAATGACTTTGCGACGTCTATGGACTCTTGTAACAACTTAATAGCAAGTGGAATAAAAAAAGTTAACATCTTACCGTTATCCTTAAGAAATATTTTTATTTTTGGTTTACATTACAGTGCCTAAATAGAGTTATTTGCAGTATCAAATACTCGAAATACTCCTGAAGAAATTGCAAAACTCATTAAATACAAACCAAATTTTCCCAATGGTAAAATGGCCCCCTATTTTTTTTTTTTTTTACTTTATGGTCAATGGATAGGTACAGTGGAAATAAAATTGATAATTTTAGTCATAGACAATATCTACCGTATTTATTTTAGTCCATAGATATTTATTTTAGTCTCTAAAAATTTGACGGCCCAAGTGGAGAGATTCCGAAAATGTACAAATTTACGAATCATTTATCGAATGCTAAATTAGTTTTGGTGAGTACATAAAATTTTGGACAATTTTTAAATGTTTTATTTTAATACTTTTTTCTATACTTAGTACATTATGAACATTTGTGTTTCCAAACAACGATTTTTCTCAGTGTTTTGATGTTTTACGATCTCTCCGGCAAGATATAAACATTATTATCTCCCTGTTATAGTAAAACCGATTGTATGGCCAGCCCTCATTGGAATAACAAACCAGACCTTGAAGTTGTTGTGCCTTACATAATACTTTTGATGTCATATTTCCTAAATGTAACCTATATGACTAAGGCTGTATGCACAACACACACGCACTGATATCATAGCAGATTAAGCGAGTCCAACAAAAAGTTATACAAATTGTTTACATAGAAACAAATTTCACAAAATGCAATAGAAATTGTTTTAAATTAGATTACAATTGAAAAAAAAAATAGGTTAATTATTTTGAAGTTAAATATAAATTATTAACATCAAAGTTGAAATACAACGCTAAAGTAATGAAAGCTAATTTGCGGATGTCCCATACAATAGAAAGTGAGTATTTGATTGAGAAGATGTTTTGAAAAATCGTTCTTTGTTTGTAGTGCATTGTGTGGTAAATTATATCAGATGATTCATTGATCCTGAGCCTTTCCAAAAAATGTATCGAATATGGTCATGCGCAAAGTGTGAACAGACAGTATCCTATGTCAAAAAGGGAATAAACGGCTGAAACTAAAGGGGAAAATAATAGTCCTTTTATTAACTGAATATATATTCATAGCATAACTAAGTTTATTATTGTGAGAAACATAACGGTTGTGTGCCTTTGACCTAGATTAGTACCACCCTATCTTTTGTCATCTTATTTTATCATTGTTCTCTGAGCTCAGAATTACACCAGCATACTGCAATTGCCAACTGGCATTTATAGGGTATATATATATATATATATATATATATGTATACCTATAACCTATAATATATTATAGTAGGGTATATTATAAAACTGTATGAGTAGGTGCAATCATCCTGCCTATTTTTGTTGCGAAGTGGTCATGCACTCTGGTTTGGAATACAGTTGATTTGGCTTTGGTTCAGGACAGGATTCACATTGTGTTGTCTACAGGATTAAGTGAGCACTTAACAATAGGTGGGCCATGGGCTTGTTGACCCGTCAACAATATAAATCTTAACATGGTATGTCTTGGTTTTGAAACACAAATACTAGGGAAAGTTGTTTATGACATTAAACATGTCCTTTTTATTAAAGTAATATTCATGGACCAAAATAAATATAAAAGGTAAGTAATATGTATAACAACTAACATTAGATATATGATTTAGGTAAGAAGACACATTGATGGGTCCTCAGCAGCACTGATAGTACTTCGTCAAAACTCATACTCCCAGGATCATGGTACACGACAGCAACCCCGCAAGTCACGCAAGCTCTTCTGGAGCACTGTCGGAGCGACTGTACTTACTGGAGCTGCTGTTGTTTATGCCAAGTTAGTTTTTACTAGGTTTGATGGAACTAAGGTCTCAAACCATTTAACATAATAAGGAAAAATTATAGAAGATATTTCTTCTTTTTCATACACTTTATTTCATTTTTCAGCTGCTGTAGTGTGTGATTCCTCGTATCTCAAATCTGGCTCTAATCTCAAAGCAAAATATCCGTATAGTCCGTAATATCAGTAAGGTTACAACGGCTGCCCCACCCTTCAAACCGAAACGCATTACTGCTTCACGGCAGAAACAGGCAGGGTGGTGGTACCTACTCGTGCGGACTCACAAGAGGTTCTACCACCAGTAATTACGCAAACTAATTTTGCGGATTTGATTTTTATTACATGATATTATTCCTTCACCATGGATCAATCGTGAATATTTGTTAAGTACGTATTTCATTAGAAAAATTGGTACCCGCCTGGGGGATTCGAACACAGGTGCATCGCTAGATACGAATGCACCGGACGTCTTATCCTTTAGGCTACGACACTTGTATATATTTAAATTGTTAAAATTGATTGCAGACACAGTCCAGAGGCCCGAAACTGGTTAGAGTCAAATGTCCCTTGGGCCAATGACCTGGTAGCTCTCGTTTACCAGGAGAAGTCTTCACCGTGGAAGTTTACAGTGGACCGTTTCAACCAGGCCACCACGTCAATCAGCCACTTTGTGTTTGGAAAGGTTACCTTAAAACTACCTATATATGTAAATATAAAAGTCTGTCGGCAAGTGGCGGCTGAGTACTTTCAAGGAATCTGTGAAATTCAATAGGGATGCTCACAGCAGGGCGTAACCGGGTTTCACTACTTGTTACAGTTATGTCAAAATGAGGATGGTTTTACAAAATAATTTCAAATTAATTTAAGTATTAACCAATTAAAAAGATATTGATTATGATTGGGAGTAAGACGGATCAAGTCTGCAGCTCTAGCCTAGCTAATAAAAATTTACGTCACATCGACATAAATTATTATTAAACTTCATAAATAATTACAGGAAGGTGTTACGCCATTAGAGATAAAGTCGAGGTCACAGCAGGACATAGATGCAGATGCAGCAAAGAAGGCAACCAGCAAAGACTTCCAATGTATGTACTGTACTCATATATTTTTTTATTAATTACAATTAGTATGACAATTATTATTAATAAAATAATGATCATATGTGCATATAATTACTAAATCTATCCTAATAATCTTTAATACCTCATACAGAAAATAGAAAAGTACCTTGCTTGACATTCAGGAGAAACATTGTTTGTATTTTATTTCATTGTATTTCATTTCATTTGTTTTGTTTGTTTTTCAACACATTGCTATCCAGTCCAGTCAAGTGGCTCAGCCAGCACGACTCCTTAAGTTGTTTGATAAGACTTATTGATTCCAAACCTGTAAATAAAAGTACTTTAATTCAGCCAGCCACTGAACTATCTGTGAAGCAAATCATTTTTAATAAACGTTATGAACTTGTATTCCGTGTGACTAACAGTGCCTCCGCCCTCCCTTGAGCCCCTCTACGTGGAGGAGAAGAAGCTTGGAACACCGGATGTAGACACACCAGGTAGGTCGATAGGCTACCTGATTGTCTCAATATTAATATTGCATCCTACATAAACTATTTAAACATAATTAACAAAAAACAATAAAAAAACAAATAAATCCCATCTAATCTCTTAATATTTGAAAACGTACATATGTAAGTAAAAGTTGAACGTGTTGCGCAGCTACGGTGGTGCAGACGGAGCGCTGCGAGCCCGCGCGCGCCCCGGCCGCCGCCGTGCCCGCCGAGCTGGTGCAGCTGGAGCGCGACATGATGGACAACACCAAGCTGGCCCTCGACAGCTACAAGCGCGCCTCCCAGCACTGCAAGCGCTACAATGACGCGCTCTACAAGGTGGGCGCCCCCGCCGCGCCGCCCCCAACCCCCCGCCCCAACCCCCCCAACCCCCCGCCCCAACCCCCAACCCCCCGCACAGCCCCCTGTACTCTGGCGTCGTTCGCAGATAGTGGAGTCCACCGTGGAGGAGCTGGACAAGAGGCACTTCTCGGCGCTGCAGGGCGCGCAGAGCGAGCGGGACGCGGCGCACGAGCAGGCCGCGGAGGCCGCCGCTCGCGCCAAGAGCGCCATCCGTCAGTACACTCCGCCCCGCCCTCTAGTGATACTAACATTTTCACATATTATTGCATCATTAGATTGATATCCGCATGCACTGCTTGCAGAGCGGGTGGAGAGCGCGCTGGAGGCCGGGGCGCCGGTGCCGCCCCCCGCGGCCGCCGCCACCCGGCGCCACGCCGCCGCCTTCGGGGAGCAGCTGGCGACCGCGGAGGCCGAGTACTGCCGGTGCCGGGACGAGGCGCTGCTGGCCGACCGCTACTGGGACAAGGTACGGGGACCCGCGTGCACTAGCGAAGCGTTCTCGGGATCAGGAAAGTAAGACCTGTGTACTGTCGCCAGGTGGAGGCGGCCCGGTCTGCGTTCCGGGCGGAGCTGGCGGCGCTGTTCCCGGGCGCCGACCTCAGCGCGCGCTCCCTGCCCTCCGCGCACGTCGACCTGCTGCTCGTCTACACGCTCAAACAGGTAGCGCCCGCCCCGCGCCATAACTACACTTTGTGCTCTCAAATAATTATTGTAAATTAACGATTGATGTTACAGATCCAGTTCCTGCAAAACCAGCTGGCGGAGCTGCAGACCGTGCGGGAGCAGAAGATCAACCGCGCCATTGAGTGTCAGTACCGCTGCGTTGCCGGTCCCGGTTTCACCGTCGCCCATCCCGTGGTCACCGTCGCCGGTCCCGTGGTCACCGTCGCCGGTCCCGTGGTCGTCGTCGCTGGTCCCGTGGTCACCGTCGCCGGTCCCGTGGTCACCGTCGCCGGTCCCGTGGTCGTCGTCGCTGGTCCCGTGGTCACCGTCGCCGGTCCCGTGGTCACCGTTGCTGGTCCTGTGGTCACCGGCGCCCGCGGGGTCTCTGCCTGTCGGTGATTTTTACAGTTGACCGTAGAGATAGCGACAACGGACGTGTCACGGACAACGGATTCAATTAACATGTCCATTACTATCACGATAGCACAATTGTGTGACAAGTTGTTGCCGTCAGTGACGTCACCCGCCGAGTGACGTCACTGCGACGGGGCCGCCCCTGACGCGCGACCGCTCCACAGGTCACGACGAGAAGGCGCTCATCGAAGCTAAAGTGGAGGACCTAATCAAAGCGGAACGCGTCGAGAGGGAGAAGGAATTCCTCAAGAGGGTGAGTGCAACTAGTGTCGAGCTCCGGGGAGTGGCCGGGGGCTCCGATCGCCCGACTAACGGAGCCTGTCGTGTCGCAGAGCCTGGCGCTGCAGGCCGAGGCCCACAGGAGCCTCCGGGAGCAGCTCAAGAAGCAGTTCGAGATACAGCAGGAGGTCCTGCAGGAGAAGGTCGCCAGCAAGGAGAAAGAGGTCAGTGAGGCTCCTTCTGGTACGACGCGGAACTAGTGAACCGGGCGGTGACGTGTGGCGTGACGTTGCAGGTGATGTCCCGCCTGGCGCGCGCGCAGTCCGAGCGCCTGGAGCACGAGCGCGCGCAGCACAAGCGCGAGCTGGGCGCCGCCGCCGCGCGCCTCGCCGCCGTGCAGCACGCGCTCAAACGTAACGCACCGCCCCCCAACCCCCCTCCCTCCCCTCCCCTAGTGAAGTTACGTGAACAGTCATAGAGCGAGTGTGTTGTGTGTGCAGAGCGGGCGGGCGCGGAGGAGGAGGCGCGGCGCAGCGCGGCGCTGTGGGCGGCGGCGGGCGGCGTGCTGGCCGCGCTGTCCGCGCCGCGCCGGGCGCCGCTGCGGGACCACGTGGCCGCCGTGCGCAGCGCCGGTACGAGCCTCTGTTGCACCCTCCCTGCAGGGGACAGTAACCGACATTACAGGATCGTATGAGCACAGACACCCTCAGGTCGGGAGCGACTGTTCGGCATCAGACGGAATTTCAAATTGATCCTAAGAGTCACGTTACAAGACTGACTGGGGGCGCGCCCAGCGGTCATTGCTCGTGAAAAGACGGAACTTTTTAGTTATTTTCTCTTTGTCTTACGATCATTATAATACTATAATAATTATATGTTTTGAACTATTAGGTAAGGACGACAAATTGGTGCAGAGCATCCTGCAGAGCATCTCGCGAGACGCGCTGGAGCACGGCGTGGCCACCGAGCAGGAGCTCCGGGACAGCTTCGACAGGGTGCGTCCCCGCCCCGCCCCGCGGCCGCCCCCCGCGGACCACCTGGTTTACATCCACCTATATATTTGCAGATGGAAAAGACAGTACTGAAGGTGGCGCTGGTGGGGCGCGAGGGAGCCTCCCTGCCGGTGTACTTCCTGTCCTGGCTGCAGTCCAAGCTGCTGTTCTACAAGGTACGTGCGGCGCCTCGTGCGGAGTGCGGGCTCGTCTGTACTTGTCATAAAGCGGCTCGTGACTGTTGGCAGCTGTCGGAGCTTCCCGAGGAGGAGATGGAGGACAAGCCCGTGGACTACACCAAGCTGGACAACTTCGAGATCATGCAGCGGGCCAGGTAAGGGTTTAACTTGTTGTCAGTGCTCGTTCTCAGGCAGCGGGACTGATGTGTGGTTGTCGCAGATGGCAGCTGGAGCGCGGCGCGGTGGAGCGGGCGGCGCGGCTGGTGGGCGCGCTGCGGGGCGCGGGGCGGGCGGCGGGCGCGGCGTGGGCGGGGCCGGCGCGCGAGCACCTGGCCGTGCGTCAGGCCGCGCACGCGCTCATGGCGCACGCCGAGCTGTCCTCGCTGCTGCACGTGTAGCCGCACGTGTAGCCGCACGTGTAGCCGCCGACCCTACCGCACCGCGACTGCCAATGAAATAACACCATTTATTTTGAAAACTGTTTACATCATTTTTTTTACTCTCCTTATTTAATTAATCTCCGTCGTTGGTTTTCCTAAAAAAATTGTAAATGATGTCCAAGGGCAACTTCGAAACCTTAAAAAATGCAAAATAACAAAAATGTTTTGCAAACGATCGCATTTAAAATGTAATAACGGTCGGAGTGGACGACCGTTGAAGTGAGACCGAGTCGGAACTCGCGACTGTAAATATCTCGTCTAGTAAATTATAAATTAAATGATTTTTAATTGAACATCGTTGGTTTTATTTTACACTAGCGACCCGCCCTCGCTTCGTTCCGTTATCTATAATTTATTATTGATTTTAAGTTTTTTTTTATATCTGAACCTGAGCTAGTGCCTTGAAAATTCTTATTACGGATACAGCCGTCAACGACGTCTGCCTCGCCCGCTCCTCGCCGCCGGACGGCGCCATACTAACGCGCACGCGATTGTTATTTATGAGATTTTATGACCTGGTAACTAAGACGTTTAAGTCATGTCTTATTTTTGTTTATATTCTTATTTTTATGCACGCTGGCGGGCGCACGCGATGTTTATTATATACCCCACAGACACAGCCCGCTGAGTTTCTGAGTGATAACAGATTCTGCGAAGCACTGCTCTTGCTAGGGTTAGTGTTAGCAAAATCGTCAGGTTTGAGCCCCGTGTGCTCACCTACACGTTAGAGTAAGTTGAAATTTAGCGGGTAGTGAGTCGGGGTTAGCGGAGCGACGATATCGAAGGCGAGATCATCGACTAACGCGTCAAGCCGCCTGCCATTCGGGGTTGTGGTGTGTGAGTTCCACCTGATGTGTTTACAATTTAGGTCGCCCGCCAGAATGACAGAGCTCCCCATACCGAGCAGCGCCTCGATATCACTGCTTAGAACGATCTTANTAAAAAAAATAAAAAAAAAAAGTAAGTTGAAATAGCCTCTCAAGGCTATGAACATAGGTAGAAAAAAAAAGAACTCATATCTCAAGGTGGCGAAATTCACGTTGTACATGTCTATGGGCTCCGGTAACCACTTAACACCAGGTGGGCTGTGAGCTCGTCTACCCTTCTAAGCAATTTATTTAATTTCATCCCAGTTGATTAATGTCTCAAATTAATCTTCATTTCATTTCATTTCACTCCATATTATCATTTATCATAAAAATAAGAATATAAACAAAAAGAAGACACGACTTAAAGATCTTAGTTACCAGGTCATAAAATCTCTTAAAAATAATAATCGGGTGCGGACTTTTTGGCGGGAACGCGAGGAGTGAAGTTGTGTGATTTGTTCTATTTTGTCTATTTAGCGTTTCTTCAGGTTTAAATGTGTAATAACGGTGGTTTTATTAACTGTTTAGTATCTGTGAAAGTGTACAAATGTGGGAAAATGAAAAAAGGCCGCTGAAAAAGTCTCGGTAAATGATCACCATTTTACCGAGATTATATTTCATCTCATGTCATCTCATCTCATTTCGTTTTCACTTCATTTCATTTTGTTTTAATTTCATATCATTTCGTTTTCATCTATATTTCATTTAAAAAGTTCCATTAAAATTCAAGAAGACTTAGCACCGGGTGGGCTGCGGGTACGTCCACCCATCTCAGCAATAAAAAAAAATGTTCCATCCACCTATCAGGCCTGGTTCTGAAAAGAATTCACGCGCCGTGACTCGGGGTCCTGCTGGTAGTAGTACCGAGGAATCCTGTTTTCTTGTGATCTTGAAGTACAGAATCGAGGAAGTGAATGGTGCACCACTTAGGGTGTGTACAGCCTGCTTCGGGAGGTACCTGTGGATGTTCTGCAGGAGAGAGCCATATCCGGGTTGTCACCAGTGCGGGCATCCGGACGATGGCGCTCACCACGCACTCAAAGCGTGTCCGCGTTGGGAGCACTCGCGGCGAGATCTCATCGTGGGGTTGGAGAGGGACCACTCCGGATATAACTATGTATCAGTCTCTGGCTCCCGTAATAAAATATTAAATATCATTATAGTATAGTATATAGTAATAATACTTAGCTCTTACAAAGCATTTTTGTGTATAAATTTAAATTAAAACTAATGTTGAGTTCATGGCAGAACATAAATATAGTAAGATGAGAGTGTAGAAACACAAAAGAGGTTAAAAACAGGTCATTGCTAATGTGGTAGATATCTGTCAAACAAGAAAAAAAATTTTTGAAGGCAGAAGCACTACAGAAAAACATAAATGCATGATTAAAAATAATCTGAAATCAATACAATGATCAGAATAGCACAACATGGTGTCAATATTAGAACAATACTAGTAAGTGTAGTCTGCATTGTAATATTAATTTATACTTATATATAAAACTATTATAACTGTGTTTATATATTGAATATATTTACGGAGAAGAATACTACATGGCGTCACGAGATGCACGTGACACTATGTCGTGCGATAAGAGATTCAGTCTAAGTGTATGTGTACCGCTACGAAGATGGCTATAAAACTATATTCCGGTGATATTAAGACATTATTTTTCTTTCAACACGAAATAGACCGCATTGCAAGGAAGGTGGGAGTTCGGATAGCTCGTCTACTCTTAGGCAACGAGGTTAAAGGCGATTCATGCTAGGTATATGCAACTGGGACACGCCGGGATGATTTTATACTCAAGTATGATGTGCCGACTGACACTAATGACCGCCAGCAGCGCCGTCACAGACCCCTGCAACTACAAGGGTCGCACCTACATCAGTGTACCTCCTTGTACAAGTACATTGACCCTCGGGAACGACCTCCGTGTCCTCCGCCGCCCGTGCCGCCCCCTCCCGCGCCTCGGGACTACAAACTGTTCTGGGGAGCGATGACGGCCCTCGTGCTGGCGGGAGGCTTCGCTGCTTACGCCAAGTAAGACCTCCAATTTAGATTTAAATAATGACCACTTCGCAAGTCATATGAATTTTTTCGTGCTCCTTTTGAAATCGTGCTCCTCAATTGCTGCCCTATCTTACTCCTATTTGAAGAAAAACCTAGATTCCTAGATTAGAACCCAGCCTAATCTGCGTTAGTGATCGAGGTAATCCCCGTCAGATCTACGTTATACCCATAAGCAATACGGTACTTATTTTAAATTTAAATATATACATAATAATATATAGATCATATCCATCCAGACAAAGAGCAAAAATATTGGTTCATCTCACCATTGTTTGCCCGTTATGGGAATCGTTCCCACGACCCTCTGCGCAAAAGTACGGGCCGCTAACTACTGCACCGAGTCAGTGAAAAGATACTAATTAAAATTATGAATATACTACATTTAAGATCATTTAAGCAGTAACTTGACATCGCTCGCATCGCTGATGTCCATGAGCTGACTAAATAACAGGGGGGTCCGTCCGCTCAAAAAATAAAGATATTCACTTGTAAATAATATGAAGAGCCGTAGCTACCAGGCTGTAAATTAATGAGTAAAGCGCTCTTGCACAGAACGTCCCCGGAGGTCAGAGATTGGCTGACGATCAATGCTCCCTGGTTCGATGACGTAATCGCCGTCGCGTACCAGGAGAACATGACCTACAAAGAGTTCATATTACAATGCACTGAAGACGCCAAGAAGTATTTGAATAGTTACGTCCGAGACGACAAGCCCAAGCAGTGCTCGTTTGAGGAGGGATCGGCACTGTCTAATGTTGGTTAGAAACTTTTCATGAAACATTTCAATGAAAATTCAAAAACTGCAATCCTGTAAGGAGTACAATTGTTTTAGCCTGTCCATATGTATCTCGCGAACCCGCAATGTAAGTAGCTGGTAGGCGCATTAGGCGTGTCTTTTATTTGTGTAGTGTGCATGACACACATCATGCAGTGGAAAAATCATTAACTCAATCTCGCTAGGAGCCGTATTAAGACTTATTGAATGACGATTTATTTACCAAAATAAAAAGCTTATGAAGGGGACAAGTGAACACATTCACGTATGTGTAATAATAATAATTCTCCTTTGGGTTTCTGTAAGTTTGGTAACAATACAGGGTGTAACACAAAGTGTCAACAGTGTACATCACGTTAAAAAATGTAAAATATGTATTTGTCGTGATTAGTAATTTCATACTAAAACTAATTTATTAATAGCTTCAACTGTTCGATGACAGCCTTGAATTAATAGCGAATCCGTCAACTTATTTCTACCGATGATACGACAAAAAACGGAACCTTCTTACTAGGTACTACGGCTCATCGACTTTTGCAAATTTCAACTTTTTATGACGAATGTTACTAAACTTTACTTTTTACTGGTGGTAGGACCTCTATTCTCAGGCAGTTAAAAATAGAAAATATTCAACGTCTATCCACAATCTGCCTACAAAGAATATTGCGGTATTTTGGTCATGTTGCACGTAGGGATACCAGCAATTTGGAACGCCTTGTGGTGACCGGTAAAATAGAGGGAAAAAGGCCTAGGGTAGAGGTCCCAAACGATGGTCGGACCAAATAGCGGAGGAACTGGGGATACCTATCAGCGACGCACTCCACCGGGCTGCAGGGCGGGATCGATGGAGACAGTTGGTTGACGAAATCGGACGGAGTCACGATCCTCAGCAGTGAGGAACCGATCGAAGAGAGAGAGAGAGAGGACCTCTTGTGAGTCCGCGCGGGTGGGTACCACCACCCTGCCTATTTCTGCCGTGAAGCAGTAATGCGTTTCGGTTTGAAGGGTGGGGCAGCCGTTGTAACTATACTTGAGACCTTAGAACTTATATCTCAAGGTGTGTGGCGCATTTACGTTGTGGGTGTCTATGGGCTCCAGTAACCACTTAACACCAGGTGGGCTGTGAGCTCGTCCACACATCTAAGCCATAAAAAAAAAAAAACCCATTTTACCATTATTACAAAGCTGTTTGATAAACCGACACCGTTGGAACGACTACTCAAAAGAACACTAATTACAGTTGGCGGCTTGATATAATACCCTTTGTGGGACACTCTGTACATGTATGCATTTAAGAAATGAAAAAACTGGGAAGTAGGTCGGGAGATGTTCCAACAAATTTTTATCTAATCGAATACGAAAGTTTTTAGGAATACAAAGGACGCAAGGAAAGGTACGTAGGAAGGAAGCAAGGAACAAAGGAAAGGCTTTTGAAGTAAGAAGTAGGTGTAATGATTTTTTCAAATCAGCGTGTTTTTCTAAATTTGATTTTATTAAGTCATAAACGTACATTTGGAACATTAACAGAATTATAAATAATAACACAGGCTGCATCTTCCATAGTCAGTTTTATTAAATTAATTTAAAGAAATATTATGAGGCTTGTGGTTCACAATAACAAAGTAACCGCAAAAGTTACAAAAGTTTTTTCTATTGTCCATAGAGCTACCAGACCAGCCTGCAGATCAGGCACTCCGCGAAAAGGGTGAGACCAAATAATTATGGAAGTCTAGTTTAAGTACATGTATATTTTCTCTATAATTTGAACTAAAGAACAGTTGAGAAAAGAGTCATTGAATATTAATTAAAACTCTTAAGCTCTCTAAACTCTAAAACTTTTAAGAAATCATACATCTATACCAAAATGCTACAGTTATATAGTCTTTACATATTTGGATATTCGGCATTTCGAAATCGTAGTTGTCTGCAGCATGAAGACAACTGAAATGTGGAAAATGATGAGAGTTCACCAGCTGCGAAGGAGTAGAGTCTTCAGCGGCGGGGGCTCAGCATTTGTTTCTTTTTTTTTGCCCTTGTAGGCGGACGGGCATATGGCCTGATGATGAGTGGTTATCGTCGCCCATTTAATGCATAATTTGTGTGTATTGAAGAGAACGAGTCACCGTGCAACACCCTGCCTCCCCCCGTGGTCACTAAGGACGTGTGCGAGATAGAGAAGTGTCTCACGGACTTGGCCGATACCGCTCTCAACAATTACGGGACGGCCCGCGACGCCTGCGCTTATTATAACAAGGTACACATCAACACGCGACTGCACACGATGTTCCACCGACTATTCACCTAACCTTGTGTTGTACTAGCGACTTGGCAACAATTTTCAAAAGGTTGAGTAGTAAAGATGTGGAATACGATCAGTGAAGCCTTCGGAAGTCTGAGCTGGTTCCTTACTACGGGCGCAAGCAGAATGGACCCTCTAGCTAATCATTTTATTCTCAAACGTATCGGAAATTACCGAAGTACGTTTGATACCTTAATGGGGTCGTGTTTTTTTTATTGCTTAGATGGGTGGACGAGCTCACAGCCCACCTGGTGTCAAGTGGTTACCGGAGCCCATAGACATCCACAACGTAAATGCCGCCACCCATCTTGAGATATGAGTTCTAAGGTCTCATGTATAGTTACAACGGCTGCCCCACCCTTCAAACCGAAACGCATTACTGCTGCACGGCAGAAATAGGCCTACCCGTGAGAACTAATGCGGAATATGGTAGTCAGAGCTGCACCAGCAAAGGAATATCACGAGGCAATGGGACTATAAGCTCATCGGCCACTGGGACTCATAGCGATTAATTGCGACTGTCCCGGATTGTGAAATATATTTATTCAAGCACAAAGCCACCGTGTACTAGTTGGGATACCTCCTTTAGATAAGATGATTTTAACGATCTTAACTAGAACTTGCTCCTACAGGAACTTAAAGCTTAAAGATGAAAAATTATTAGGGTTTGGATTCACCTATTGTTTCCTTGTAAAGTACCTAAGTCAAGGGTTCTCTGGTGTTGATTATAATGCAAAGAGAACTTCTCAGAATAACGCAAAATATAAATAAATGAACTACAAAAGATGCGCTCTGTTTATACTAATATATAAATCTAGAGTGGTTTTACGGATGTTCCGTTATAACTATTGAACCGTGCATCCAATTGACTTGAACTTGGTATCCATGTAGAAAATACATGTACTTAATGGATAGGCTAATATTTATATGAGTGTTGGACACCCTAATAATAATGACAATAAATAATAATGTTAATTTTAAATGCCCAGCGAAGCGGGGGAGTACGGCTAGTATTTTATATAAATAAACGTGACCGGAGATGTTTATTCAAATAATGCTAAGTCTGTCTTCAGCTGGTCGAAGAGACAATGCTAGATTTCTCGATGAGTTCCCTGGGAGAGCTGCGCCACGCGATGCTGGAGCGGCAGGATCTCGTCAAGACGTCCGTTGATAACGCGAACTACGCTGTTTCTAGATTAGGTAGGTACTGCAATACTTCCCTTGTGCTTATGTACATCTGACGACATGTCCGGTGCTGTTGCAAGTGAAGAGTACCCCTACAAAATTGTCGATGTTAATGTAGTTCTTTATTAACCCCACTTCGCAAAAGCGGCACGACACGAGAACCCTCTCATCGTGGCCGTCGGTAACTACATTCCCGATCCTGCGGACAGAATGGAAAGCAGTCGACGTCGCCCCAAACACGTCATCTCGGATCCTCCCGATCCACTAACGGTGCTTTTAGGTACCTCAAGCACCGGTCACCGTTCTCGTCGAACCCGTCGCTTGCGACGAAGGGCTCGACGAGTAAATTAACCCTCAGACACAGCCCACTGAGTTTCTCGCCGGATCTTCTCAGTGGGTCGCGTTTCCGATCCGGTGGTAGATTCTGCGAAGCACGGCTCTTGCTAGGGTTCGTGTTAGCAACATCGTCAGGTTTGAGCCCCGTGAGCTCACCTACTAGTTAAGGCGACGCTGATATAGCCTTTCAAGGCTATCAGCTTAGGTAGGAACACAAGAGAAAAATCTTTATTAACCTAGTCATCTGTCCGATGCATTAAGTGACTGCTTATAGCTTAATAATAGTTGTTGTTAATTACCAAAAAACAAAATTGAATTTATTTTTGTAAAATTGATGACTAGTGTCTAAACGTTTAACCAGATGAGCTAACTCGCTACTTCGAGTGCGGAGTTCAAGCACCCAAGGAGTCCCTGGACAACACAAAGGCGTTACTGAAGGATTATCGGGACAAGATCCAGACGACAAGCGCTAACTATCAGTGGGAGAACGACAGATCTCTCGCCATGGACAAACAGTGGCAAATGGTCAGTTAGAACTGTAGCACGTTACGGGCTTGATAGTGTTCAGTTGATGTATCTGTGGGGCCCTCACTCTATAACCTAGCCAGTTATTAGTTCAGAATGTTGTATACCTTTGGATACCTTTAGGTAGTCTTCAGAAAAATAAGACTGATTGCGGCAAGTGCGATCTTTATTGCGGTTAGTTTTTTTTAAGGGATTTTATGACCTAGTCACTAAGAGCTTTAAGTCATGTCTTATTTTAATTAATATTCTTTTTTTTATGAAAAATGATAATATGGAGTGAAGTGAAATGAACATGATTAATTTGAGACATTCTGGAATGAAATTAAATGAAATGTGATGATATGGGATGAAATATAATCTTAGTGAAATGGTGGTCATTTACTGAGATTTTTTCAGTGGACTTTTTGGAGGATCCCGAGAAGTTACGTCCAGCGTCTTTGTTTCATTTTCCCACATTTGTGCACATTCAGATATTAAACAGTTAATAAACCACCGTTATTACACATTTAAACCCGAAGAAACACTAAATAGACAAAATAAAACAAATCACACAACTTCACTCCTCGCGTTCCCGCCAAAAAGTCTGAGTTCAAATATTTGCGGTAGTATTGCCACCAAGGCCCGGCCAATTGTGCAACTCACTGGACCTCATGTTTGTCGATGGTCGGAGGGGCGCTCACGGGTTTTGATATCGTGCCTAACGTCAAAGAAATAAAATGAATTCTTGCAAATGTTTTAATTTCAGTAAATTGAAATACTTTTGCTTAAATTGGAATGTCCTCGTCTCCGCACAGGTCGGCGAGGTCGTGGAGAAGTACAGCGCGGAGACTCAGCAGATGTTCCCGGCGTCGCGCCGCGCCCAGACCGACACCGACCTGCTGCTCATACACGCCACTAGATATGTACGCCGCTCGCAGCACCGAGGACTTGTTTATTTAATCAATCAAAAAATTGATATTTTCAATTGAAATGTATAAATAATCTATACTAATGTTATAAAGCTGAAGAGTTTGTTTGTTTGAACGTGCTAATCTCAAGGAACTACTGGGCCGATTTAAAAAATTCTTTCAGTGTTGGATAATCCATTTATTGAGAAAGGCTGTAAGTTATATAACATCACGGTAAAACCAATACAAGTAGAGGACCAATAAAGAATGTTTCAGAATAGGGGTTTAAATAGCTCTATAGCGTTGTACAATTCAAAAATATTTTCACTTTCTACGTAAATGAAGTGGAGGGTAAAATTTAGCGTTATGCCAAAGTAAGTATTCCACGCGGACGGTGTCGCGGACAAAAGCTAGTAATGTATAATGAAGCCCTGGCAGCTGTACGGACTCGTGTCCGGGGCCTCAACATTAACGGATAGAGCTGGCAGCTGGAGCGTAGTGCTGTTCATAAAGTGGCGTGGTGTGCTACAGATGCAGCAGCTGGAGGGCGAGGTGCGGGAGGCGCGCGCCGCCATGTCGGCCCGGGTCGCGCGCGGCCTGCTCAGTGAGTCCGCTGCTCTCTTGTTCCAACACCTCTTTACTTTCGCGATCCATCTGAGCCCACGGGGAAGCAGTTCCCAGAGCGCGTACACACTTCAACGTGATTGCCGCCGCCAAGCCCGAGGGGCTGTAGGAGGCGCACGAGTTCGCAGAGTTGACAGTATTGTTAGTGCACTCGACAAGTTCACAGCGCAGCCAGCAGGCGGTACCTTGTATCAACTCTATATACACGACATTCTTTCCTAAATTTGACATTTCGTATTTACTATTTCTAAATTGATTTTATTGTACATATTATTACGCGCTGGGGTTCGGGATAAATAAAATTTCACCAAAGTACAACTGTATTCAACACTTAAACACTTCACAAGCACCTTAAAACTCTCAATTCGCTTGTTCCGCTTCGCTTCAGGTGATCCGTTCGTTGTTTCGCTTCGAGTAGTTCCGATTACTAACTGACTGCGTGCCATCCCTACAACGCTTTTATAGCCGATACCTCATCCATAGAATCATCGAGAATATTCCACACATCTCTAGTCGTAGTTCCCGCTATCTAACAATAGATGGCGTTGTAATTCTCGAGCATTCTGGACACTTCGATATTCGTTAGACTATTCGGCGATACATGGCGTTACTCTTACCGGCGTAACAATATTATATAGTTTACAAAGTAGCACTACCAGCCGAAGGTGCCGCAGTACAGAGTCGAGTAACGGTGTGTGTTGCGCAGCGCTCCCCCAGGACGAGCAGCAGCGGAGTGGCAGGGAGGTGCTGGTGCAGGCCGCCGTCAGGAGGAGGCGGACAGAGATGGACAGGGAGTATAGGAAACGGGTACAGATTGCATATGCTATCAGTTGTCAGAAGGACGCGTCACCGTGCGACCCCACCCCGGGCTGGGGCTGTTCTGGTGACACTGGCCAGATAATGAACTAGCAATGAATAATTGTTTTTAGTCAGAGGAGCTTCGTGCTGCCAACGAGCACATGATATCGGAGTGCTTGAAGAGGCAGCGCGCGGAGCACGAGGAGACGCTTCGACAGCGCGTGCTGCAGAAGGAGATCGAGGTTTGCTTCAGAGCTGCTTTAGCTGAAAGTTTATCATCATTTCAAAAATTAAGCCAAAAAACACAGTCGTTTGAAGAGATAATTCAGTTGTTTGTTTATTTGTTAATGTATAACATTTTTCTGTAATAATATTGTAAATTTCGCGGTTCGTATGTCTACTGCCTTTGTTACTCAATGACACAGAAACGGTTAAGCGGGTGTGCATACAATTGTGCGTAGTATAGTCCGCGGCGCGCTTACTGTCTCGTGACGTCACAGTGTGCGGACAAGCGATGCTCTGTCCCGGGGAGATGTAACATGGACATGACTACAGGGTCGGAGCAGTGGCTGACAACCGTCTGCCCCACCCCGTGCTCCGCTTCGGATTCCATTCTATTTGCTGTGTGGTAACCACCTGCTCGCTGTACATTTTTAACAAGGCCGGACCGTAGGGCCAAAGGCTTAGAGATGCAGTATCGTTGGCAATACATTACGAATACGTTTTACAGTATTGTCACTTACAGGCGAAGGCGAGATTGAACAAGTTGATTGCCGAGAAGGTCGCGACCGAGAAGCTGGTGCTCGCGGCGCAGCTCGCGGAGATGAGGAGCAAACTGAACGTGGTCGAGGAGAAACTCAACGGTATAGATTTTTTTTATTACTTAGACGGGTGGACGAACTTACAGCCCACCTGGTGTTAAGCTGTTACTGGAGCCCATAGACATCTACAACGTAAATGCGTCACCCACCTTGAAATATAAATTCTAAAATCTCTAGTATGCTCCATCCTTCAAACCGAAACGCATTACTGCTTCACGGCAGAAATAGGCAGGGTGGTGGTACCTACCCGCGTGGACTCACAAGAGGTCCTACCAACAGTAATGAAGTAATGAATTGTGCAGCTCGAGCACAAGGATTTGGTCGTAGTGTAATTTTAGTTTTTAGAGCCAAACCGCTGCCTACCGCTTAATACTCTCCAAAAGCCTCGTTTGAAGAAGGACATGTCATAGCGCTCGGGAAACACCGTGGAGGGGAACTCATTCCATAGCCGGATGGTACGTGGCAAAAAAGATCTCTGGAAACGCACTGTGGATGACCGCAGTGGCTCCAGGTAGTATGGATGAACTCTACTCCGGTGGCGGGCGGTGCGATGGTAAAAACGAGACGTTGGTATCATCTCGAACAATTCCTCAGAGCACTCTCCATGGAACATGCGGTACAAAATACAGAGGGAACCGAAGTCCCTCCGCAGACTCAGAGGTTTCAAACGATTCGTGAGAATGGGATTATCGGGAGTCAAATGGAAGAAGCTGGTATTTGGGAGCCCCGGCCCAGAGACGGGAGCAGTACTCCACGCGAGGCCGGACTTGTGCTTTATAAAGCAAAAGTCTTTGTCCAGGCGTGAAGTACCGCTTCGCTCTGTTGAGGACTCCCAGAATTTTGGACGTCAACTTGGCTTTCCCTTCCACATGACTCCGAAGCTGGACATCGCTCGAAATGTCGACCCCAAGTATCCCGATACTCTCGGAAGGTTGCAGGGATACTCCTTGGAATTGCGGCGCCATGACAACAGGGTCCTTCTTCGCAGTGAACGCACAAACTTGTGTCTTTAACGGGTTGAATTGAATCAAGTTCAATTCACCCCTTCCGGAGACTCCCCCCAGAGAGTTCTCCACTTCAGACACAAGTTTTGATAGTCTCTCTTGCACCACGCTCCGCGAGAGACTGAGGGCCGATATATCGCGCATCCCCCGTGCTGTCATCCGCATAGCAATGCATGCCATCAATAGACAGAATGTCATTAATATACAGGATGAAAAGCGTGGGGGAGAGCACCGAACCTTGTGGAACGCCAGCGTTAATGGTCATGGTATCAGAACAGTCACCGTCTACAACGACCGTGATGCTCCGCCCATCCAAAACGCTAGCGATCCACTTGCAGAGACCCTCGGGGATACCTTAATATGGTAGCTTCGACAGAAGTGCCCTATGCCAGACCCAAGGCTCACAGCAAGAGCCTCGCCCTTGCTCTCCAAGGCTTCAGCCCACCCGTGAGTAAGGTATACAAGAAGATCGCCAGCTGAGTTTGAAGCCGACGTGGCCTAACGGATAAGACGTCCGGTGCATTCGTGTTGAGCGCGATGCACCGGTGTTCGAATCTCAGGCGGTGGTACCAATTTTTCTAATGAAATACGTACTAAACAAATGTTCACGATTGACTTCCACGGTGAAGGAATAACATCGTGTAATAAAAATGAAACCCGCAAAATTATAATTTGCTTAATTACTGGTGGTAGGACCACTTGTGAGTGCGCGCGGATAGGCACCACCACTCTACCTATTTCTGCCGTGAAGCAGTAATGCATTTCGGTTTGAAGGGTGGGGCAGCCGTTGTAACTAAACTTGAGACCTTAGAACTTATATCTCAAGGTGGGTGGTGCATTTACGTTGTGGATGTCTATGGGCTCCAGTAACCACTTAACATCAGGTGGGCTGTGAGCTCGTCCAGCCATTTTAGCAAAAAAAAAACAGTTTCTGATCAGCTGGCGATCTCTAAGATACTTCAGGAGTTGTATATTTATTATTCCCTCCATCACCTTGGAAAGTAAGGAAGTTATCGCGGTATAAGGCCTATCAGCTCGATGGCTCCGACCCGTCACCCTTCTTGGGGATAGAGTGGACGTGGGCAGTCTTCCATGAAGACGGAATCATGTTAGCGCAATCAGAGAGGCGATACAAACGCGTTAGCGCAGGCGTCAGCTCAGGGGCGCACGTTTTCAGAACCACTGCAGCGATGCCGTCTGGCCCACTCGACTTATGGACGTCCAGGAGTCGGAGTTCCCGCCTGACTGCACACTGTGTGAAGCAGATCTCCGGCAGGGAACTATCACACCGGGGGATGTTCAGTGGTGTGGCACCCCCGTCGTCTACAGTCGAGTTCGAGGCGAAGAGTTTGATCAGAAGGTCAGCCTTCTCTTTCGCACTATGGGCCAGACTGTCATCGGACTTGCGTAGTGGTGTGGGACTAGACCTGCAAAAATTTCCTTCTGCAGTTTTGGCGAGCGACCAAAAAGCACGGCTCCCAGAGGGATAGCTCTTTAGTCGCTCGCCAATTCTAGCAAAGGCAGTGATCAGACGATCCAAGCGTAGCGTCGACCACCACACTTTATCCGGCTGGATCGGTGGTCAGCAGAAGGTCCAACAGAGAAGGCTCGTGCCCCTCAATATCTGGGACACGGGTGGGCTGTGGTTCTCGACCCCAACCACTCTTGGTGGTGAGCGTCAAAGCCTCTAAGAACTAAGAACATTCTTTTTTTTTTGGAGAGTGGGATTGAGTGGGTAGGATGTTCGAGGCGAAATCATGAGAATACCTGAATAAAGCGCGGAACACAGTACGTGCTCGACCACAGGTTGCGTGAGAGACTGACCCAGTGCATGGAAGGGCCCCCAGTCCACCCTGCGTGCGATCGCCGGGATCCACTCTATTCTCCGACTCCGGCACGACGAGCGCATGACAGGACTTTATACCGGTTGGCGGGACAGCTTTCCGGGACGGAGTTTAGTAGTGACACCCGGGTTCAGGTCCCCTACTGACCGGCGGGCGGCGGCGAACACCGTTTCACTGGATCTCCCTATACCCCCGTTAAACAATCACGTCCCGCGAGCTCGCACGCACGTCTGCTCCGTATGTTCCAGGTACCATCAAGATTCACCCCGAACAAGAAAGAGGAAAGGGAAGGAATAAAACTGGCTTTCCAACCCATACGCCGGAATACAGCTAGGCTATTTGGCGGCGGACTCTAGTTGGAGGGTGGTCGCCAGCCAGTCGGACAAGTCCTACCACCGATTATGTATTCAGCTCCCGTTTTTAGCACCACCTAGGGGTCACTTGTAGGGAATCTTGTAGGGAAGCCTACGGAAGCGGGAAGCAATCAACCCTCAAATTATATTATATTGAAGAAAGAGCGTCGCAAGGATGCGCACTGTAACTGCGGCGCTAAGTGTGTGTTGTCGCGGTGGCAGAGCGGCTGCGTGCGGAGCGGTGCGTGCGGCGGGCGCGCGCGCTGTGGGCGGCGGGGGGCGCGCTGCTGGCCGCCACGCGGGCGCCGCACGCCGCGCCGCTCGCCGCGCTGCTGCGGGACGTGCAGGACGCCGCCGGTGCGTATGTCCACTTGTATTGCGTACAGCGACAACACTTGCCCCCGGGCGGTACTCAGGGCGCCCACACACCACAACATTGCGACACTCGAGGGTCGAGACAGCACAAGATAGCGCTTTCGTTCGAGCCTGTACCATCTGTTAGTTCACTACATGTTAATGTGGCATTTGGGTAACTGACAATAAGGGAGAAAGGTGTGTGTGTGTCTGTGTTATATTTAGCATGCTCCCAATATCAATTACTCATAGTCATATTGGCACTAATCCTACTCACTCTCTCTTATAAATTTGATAGGGGAAGACGACGAGTTTGTCCGCACAGTTTTGAAGTCGATACCGGACTACGTGCGGGACGAGGGGATAGAACTGGAGTCTGTTCTCAGAAAGAAATATTATGAGGCGAGTTCAACGCACCCTTGTCCAGGTCCAGCTGTGGGGCAGCGGCTAATGGCGCAGGACGTTGGGGTGTCATTTTATGAAGGAGGCGAATCAAACTTGATAGTGATAGAGCTTCAGATAAGATCAGATTGGTTGATGACCTCCTGTCCCTCGACAGACCTTATCTGGGCCAGACTCAGTGACTAGAGACATGGTTGGCGTCTACACACGTAGTGGAGGAAACATTGTATCCCTTCAACCAAAATTAATTAATTACATAGTTATGAGCCCGGGGCGCTGAGGTGCACAACGGCACCGTCGCGCGTGCCCTACATGTAGTCGGTTCTCTTAGACTCGATCGATCCAGGAAGGCGATGTGGTGAGCCCTCCCAGTCATCTCGACGAGTACCGACGAATAGACTGAAGGAGCTCGTCTGATGGCGTAGTGATCCGTATGCGGCTCATCTCCAGCACGGTGGCGCGGCGGGGCGGGGTGGGGGGATACAGTTCCTCATGAGCTCGTTGCAACTGCTGCAGATGGAGAAGGTGGCCTTAAAAGTGGCGCTAGTGGAAGAAGACGGGGCCCCGCTGTTCGTGTACTTCCTGTCGTGGCTGCAGTACATGTTACTATTCGTCAAGGTACATAGCTCTCAGGTTTAAAACGCGAACGATCTTTTATTTTAATTTCTTTATGGCCCGTGAATATTGAGATTAGTTAAAACCAAAATATAAAAAGAATACATAATACAACTGTATAAAAAGTTTCTAGTACTTCGGAGATGTGTTTTTATACAACACATTGGGTAGCTATTATACTTCTTAATACTCAATAGCTATGGAAGGCTTTCAACGGCGTGTTGAAATCCTTTCAATAAAGTCATGTAAATTGAAAAGTTATCTAGTCTACAACCTCCTCCTTGCGATAATCCTCAATACTGAGGTTCGTGGCCTCCTCTAAGAACTTTCTCCTGCCTCATTCCTGCCTATCCTCGGCTGTGTGGATAGCAACGTGGAGTGTAGTGTTGAGAGTGCCTGTGAGAATGACTTCTGCCTCTGGGCCTTCTTCCGCATACCTTGTCTGTTACCAGCAGCTTCTCTAAATTATCCCTTCAATATGTCCAAAGAACTCGAATCCCCTTCGCGCCCATATATTGCTGAGGCGCATCGGAATCTTGAGCTCGGTAAGAATGGATTCATTGATTCTGTGTTCTGTCCAATGAATCCACCAAATCTCAAAAGCGTCGTTGCGTTGGCGGTCGGCTTTCTTGAGGGTCCAAATCTCTGCGCCGTAGAGAAAAATGGAGAAGACGAGGGAGGTTATGAGCAGCTTCTTGGTATTCCTCGAAATGTTTCTGTCCAGCTATACACGGTCCATTTGGAACATAGCTCTCTTTGCCATACCAATCCGCCTTCTTCTTCTCTTGGAGGATCTGCAAATGGAGGAAGTATCTTAAGTAGTTATTAATGATATGTAGAAGGATTTTGCTACTGTGAGAGAGGATCCTGGAGCTTTCTTGCATTTCAATGCTGCTGTATCAGAACTCAGCATTGAAGGGTCCGGTTCTAGGCTGTTGCAGTTTGGACACCATACCAACGAAGCATCCAGTTGATGGTCATAAAGCCTTTCACAGTATCCATGTCACCTCTCAGTTATTGCGTCAACGTCGTGAATTGCATTGCCATCCTCGTCATTGATCACCCATGTTTTTTATTTCAAGTGCCTGGATAAAAGGCAGACCTTCTTGAATAAATCTGAAGTCTGGAATTTCAAGAAATCATTTTCTTTCCACAGTTCGGAGTATTTCTTCCTGAAGCCAGGACATTGTAGACCTTTCATTCTTTGCTCCTTGCAGTTACGGATTAGTTATCTACGGCTATCCACGACTTGTCTTACTCGACGTATTATTGTCCCTTCCGGTCGCCCTGATTGTGTCTATCGTAGCATTTATCTGGGTTTTCAGACGATTCCAGCATAGATTTGCATTATCTTTAATTGGGCTCAAGGATTCCGTGAGTTTCATCCCAAGGACAGACTGAAAATGAGCTCTTTCAGAATTGTCTGATATTCTGAGCTTTTGTTTTTTTTTTTTTTTTTTTTTTTTTTTTTTTTTTNAGCTCACAGCCCACCTGGTGTTAAGTGGTTACTGGAGCCCATAGACAACTACAACGTAAATGCGCCACCCACCTTGAGATATAAGTTCTAAGGTCTCAGTATAGTTACAACGGCTACCCCACCCTTCAAACCGAAACGCATTACTGCTTCACGGCAGAAATAGGCAGGGCGGTGGTACCTACCCGTGCGGACTCACAATAGGTCCTACCACCAGTGATTACGCAAATTATAATTTTGCGGGTTTGATTTTTATTACACGATGTTATTCCTTCACCGTGGAAGTCAATCGTGAACATTTGTTAAGTACGTATTTCATACGAAAAATTGGTACCCGCCTGCAGATTCGAACACCGGTGCATCGCAACAACGAATGCACCGGACGTCTTATCCTTTAGGCCACGACGACTTTTGTTGGTTTTCTAGGAGCCCTTAGCCTGAGCGCAAATTATGCCACTAGTAAGTTGTGATCGGAGCCGCATTCCGCTCCATGTCTTCACATTTACGACTGACGACTTCCAGCGCGTTCACGAGTATGTGATCGACCTAATTGCTATACCGCGCTCCAGGGAAAGTCCATGTGTATAAACGTCTTGGGTGATGTTGGAATTGCGTGTTTGTTGTGCAAAGATTCCTCTCGATGCGATACTCCACAAGTCGTTGGCCACGATTGCTCTTAGTACCCACACCAAACCTTCCCACAATGTTGCGAATATGGTCATCATTGGTAATATCTTCGACTTTAGCATTTCAGTCGCCGAGTATGATAATTATTTCTCTCTTTGGGATCTTGTTCAACGTGGAAGTTAGCACATCGTAAAAACCAGCTACCTCCTCGTCTGGCGCTCTTTCAGTCGGCACGTATATTTAACGATATTGAGCACTTCGAGGTTTCGCATTGATTCTCATAGTTATGATTCTATCCAACACTGGGACGTAAACCGAGTCTATAACAATGAAGAATAAATCATTTGTGTTAAAGTTTAGTATTATTCGATTAGATATCCGGGATCCCGCAGGCGGAGTACGAGAGCTCCACCGATGTGCTGCCCGAAGATTTGGACACATTCGATTTACTGCAGAGGGCGCGGTTAGATGCTCTTGTTTAATTTGTCTTTAATCTACCCTGATCTCAGACGACCAGGTCCCGGCGACGCGACTCTTCGAGGTCTCCTGGTATTACCCGTACACGGACAGAGAGCATTGTCTTCTTCGCGCCTGTGACATCGAAGTATTAGGAGCTAACTAATACTAAATATCGTGACAAGAATTCGATGAATAAAAGTATTTCTATTATATTGCTGTCCTAATAATTAGTGGCAGGGCGTCCGGGCAGGCACCACCATCCCGCATATTTGTGCCATTAAGCAGTGATGCGGTTCCGTTTGACGGGTGGGGCAGCCGTTGTACTATAAAATTGACAGAAATCATGTCTCAAGGTGGGTGGCGGCATTTACGTTGTCGATGTCTATGGGCTCCGGTAACCACTTAACACTACGAGGGCCGTGAGCTCGTCTACTTATATAAGCGAAAAAACCTCCCAAATTTTACGAATACGGAAGTTAGTTATACTATAGTGATGAAGACTACAAGGTGTCGTGACGCACAGGTTCTGGCTGGAGCACGGGTCGTGCGAGCGCGCGGTGCGCTGCGTGCGCGGGGTGCGGGGCGCGGCGGGGGCGGCGGCGGGGCGGTGGGCGCGGCGCGCGGGGGGGCTGCTGGCCGTGCGGGCCGCCGCGCACGCCGTCCGCGCACACGCCGCGCACCTCGCCCTGCAGTACGTGTGACGCGGGGGGCGGGGCGCGCGGGGGGCGGGGCGCGCGGGGGGAGGACAGTGCGAACTTGCCGTTTCTGGTGGCCACTTTAAACTAAAATTAAGGCAGAATGATTGATCCGTGGTTATCAATTTTTACTGTGCTGAGTTAAATTTTCACATTGACATATTATATTTATTGAAATAGAGATCCGAAAATAAAATTTATGCTTCTAAATATAAAAGTGACTTAATTGAAACTAAAACCTTCGTATTCGCCTTGCACCCGGCTCTGATAATGCCGACTGCACACGAGCGGGGATGGCAGGGACGTCGGGGACGCAGCGCAGTAGAGTAGCCTGGCAAAGACTATTTTAAGGGATAAAGTCACCTATTTTAAAAAAAAAAACGATAATGTGTTAACGTTTACTGCATTTTTTACTTTGGTAATAGATAATATTCAAGAAAATTGTTTCATTATGAGGGAGCAGAAACGTATTGAATTAAACAATATTCGTAGTCATATTCCTTAATCAATGATTTTGAATATATCAATTTGAGACTGCAGTGTCACACTCTGGTCCTGAAGTCATGTGCATTGTTCAGTCGCAGCTGCCTCCCTCTCTCCTCTCCCAATATAGTGGGCGCGGCGGCGAGGGACACGAGATGGCATTTTTTTTTTTATGAAGCAAGGAGTACTGGTGGCCTGGAGGCCTTTCCAGTTTCACCAGGACAGGTGGGCGAGCAAGGGCTCAGTCAGGAGGAGTGGGATTTGCTAACAGCTGCCCGAGCGTTTCCGAAGCAGACCTAAAAACTCAAGAGCAGCTGCTTCGCGAATGAATCTACTACCGGATCGGAATCGCAACCCGCTGAGAAGAACCGGCAAAAAACTCAGCGGGCTGATGCATGGGTCAGGTTGCACATCGAACACTTTATCGAGTTCGTGTATGGTTACCGAGGTCCTAAGCCTACTCCTAGTGTTAGAGTCAAAGGCATCTAATGCAAACGTTATTGGATCTGATGGACCCGTAAAGATGTGTCAAGGACGTCGACTGTGACTGTCTCCTGCGTGATCAGGATTCGGAGTGTAATTAGCAGCGGCAAAGATAAAGCGATTATCGTGACGCCTAACTTATCGAAGTACCGTTCCGACGCTTATTCGTGAGTTTCCGGATCGATTCGGGACTCACGTCGTAGTGTCGATATTCCTCACGAACCAGTGGTGGACAAGCACATGTGTACCGCTTGTTTCCGTTTATTTGTAAAGAATAAAATTATGTGGATGTGGCTTTTTATTTTGCCGGAAGCGGTCTCCACACGCTCCTTCTGCTGCTGACAAGTATGTGACCAATGCGGCCTTGAGATACACTAAGTACTATTTCATTTAGCACTCATCCAATGTTAGGTAGAAATAAATAAATACAAAGAGAGATATAAAACTGTATTGAAATCAATGAATTCACAAGTCTGATATTTTATTGAATACAACACAACAGGTTCCGAGCGAGACCCGTCCGCTCTTGCGTTTGCTGCCCACAGACTCCATGCACCTACATGCGTCGAATACAATAATTGACAATCACAGCAGCTAACTTTACAAAATAATAAATGTCTATAGAGGACGAGTCAGGGCATAGAAGCGTCATGACGAACGCTTGTAGCCTGAAAGAAAAATAAACTGAAACCGTAGTACATACCCGGTTTCAAAGCAGCGACGCAAGTATCCGAGACCACCGGGGTAGTAAGTATTTTTATTCGCCCTTGTAGGCAGATGAGCTTACGGCCCTGATGGTGAGTGGTTACCGTCGTAGATAGACGTCTGCAACGTCAGAGGCAGAGCCAAGCCGCTGCCTACCGTAATATTTAAATTCAAATATTTCTGTAATAATTTTAGCATAAGCATTTACTAATGTAGTTATCACTTATTAGTCTTGAATTCAACATTTAAAAGTTATATGAATGAAAAAAAAGTATGTTTTTAACATTACATCACTTAATAATGACAAAATTGTCGGAAAGCCGAAGACGAATCTCTTAAACTAACATGTTTGTCGCAAGAAAATATGATCGTAACAGTTTTATGTATTACTAACCAAACAACCAGCAGCAAACGAGAGAGAACCACTACGGACCGACAACCAAGACGTGTTTAAACATAATAACAACATTCAACTTATTGACAAACATATACTGCTTGAATTTTTGGTACTATTAATGTTTATTGACAAGGGAATAAAGATCACACGTGTTATCTCTAAAACGCCTAGTATTTTAGTTAAAAATTAAACGCCATTTTGTGGATACTTTTTTAAAATGGCGGCGCTCACTCAGTCCAGATGTTAATGTCAGTTGCCTACGAATAAGGTCTTGCTATTTTCGCTGTCTCTGTCACTCCGTCGCGGCGTCGCTGCTCCAGCCTAGGAGAGAGAGAGAGAGCGCACTATAGCGAGTAATGACGTTTCGTCTCACGACGTTCACGTTTTGATAGAAACCGGACCATGTAGGTCAATCAAACTTACAAATCATCATCAGAAAAACCAGGCGTTTTATATACGAAATAAAATGTTTTAACACTTAGTTTGAAAATATAATATAGTATTCTAGATTATATCGATATTTAATTATACTATTAATCACAACACTTGCAACTATTTTATAGTAAGACGGTCAGTAATTTCATCTAAAATTTAAACAGATTTATAATTATTCAAAAGTTTCATAGGAATTTGAAACGTATTTATAGAGTATTAGAATCGATTGTATTTATCACAATAAACTTGCTGAAAGGCAACGTCTTCTTGTTGCTAAATTAAAATCTTATTTGTTCTGTAAAATTAAGGTTCCCGAACTAGTGAAGTGAAACTTCTATTGGTTCGACGGTGGTTCGTCGGGAGTCAAGACATGTGCGACGTAATGTTATCGTCTCAGGTGAGGGAGCAACGCAGAACCGCCGTCGCCCTAAACATGTCGAATCCCCCGATCTACTTTCGGGGCGCTTAGGCCCTTGAAACACCGGTCACCGTCCTCGTCGTACTACCCCACAGACACAGCCCGTTGAGTTCCTCGCCAGTTCTACTCAGTGGGACGCGATTCCGATCCGGTGATAGATTCTGCGAAGCACTGCTCTTACTAGGGATAGTGTTAGCAAATTCTCTCAGGTTAAGCCCGCGAGCTCACCTACCTGTCCGGCCGTAGCAGGAATAGCCCCATATGCTACCAGCTAATAAGTAGGGATAAATGTGACTGAATGTGGATAATGAGTACTGACGGGCTGTCCCCGTGGAGCCTGACTAAAATCCTCAGTAGGTGGTGGTGACGATTAATTGTGATGACGTCAGCGCCAGCCCACGTGTCGTGGTGACGTCAGACCGCATAGAGGTTTCACTTCGCGCGGGCCCTCACTGCTCCGTGTAAACATTACTCCGCGAGCACAATGGACGCCGCGGTTCTACAAGTGATAGTAACGTCAATAAATATTCATTTTTTGTACACCTATAACGACTAGCATCATAATACTTATAAGTTCTGCTGTCCCTCTCACACGTACAGTTAAAACAGTAGGTGTGAGCGGAACGGAAATATTGTTTTTAATCACACTTATTTAGTTTCTTACAGGCCGAGAACGACAATTCTATTTTAAAATTAACTACACACGTATTGAAAAAATAAAGAAGTATCATATCTGAGAAAAAATCAGTAAAAAACAGATGCAGAGTACACACATACAGTTAAAACGTGAAACGTTTTAAATTTCGTTACATTAAAATAACAACAACAAGTGCTTCTCGAAATTATATCTTATCGTCAGGGAATAGAGTCCCGAAGAGATATACATAGAATAGTTTTAAAATAGAACCTTCGCGAAGTAACACTAGATCACAGTCTATGTATATAATATATACGTAATACATACGCTATCTCACAGAAAGTGACGTCAAACAGACGCAGACCACCGCTACGCTACTCATTACATATCCTCATCTAATAGTTAGCGCTCACGAACTAGTTCCGTCGCTGCCGGGGGAGGGGTGAGGGGGGGGGGTAGTGTTCGTGAGCACTAGTCGCCTACCTAAAGTTTTTCTAAAACAAATTTACAGGCCAGAGCCGACATTCGGTATTAGACTTTTACCGACCGGCGCACTGTTTCAGTCCAGTGAAGAAGTAGGTATAATGTGTATCTACTAAATATTTAAGTTAAGATTTAAATACTCAGTATCGTTTTGTGGACTTTAGAATTTTACTTAAGATAAATTATTTTATTTGAATTAGTTAACACAGAGTCGCCGCGGACTCCGGGGGGGGACAGACCCACCCCCCGGGGACGCAGCGTTATTGCAACTAGGTTCTTCAAGTAAGTCATAATTTCGTTCGTCTTTTTACTGCAAAAATGTCCGATTAAAATTAAGATTATATTAGAGAAGTGAGTATATTTGTGGAGGAGAGCGTGCCGGAGCAGACGAAGCCGGGGCTCGCGCTAGTCGATGGACTTCGAAGTCTTCAGCCCGTCGCTGCCCGCGGGCCGCGCGCCGCCGCTGCTGCTGCCCCTGCACCGACAAGGGGGCTAGCTATATTGCCGTGGGGCGAAGTGGTACTGCTGAGATGGTTGGACCAACTCACAGTCAATCTGGAGTTAAATGCTGCTACCACTTTGAGACCTGAGTTCTGAGTCTTAGTTTTACAGTACAATAAGTGGGGTGCACCCTCCAAACCGAAACGCATTACTGCTTCACGGCAGAAATAAGCAGGGCGGTGGTACCTACCCGTGCGGACTCACAAGACGCCTTACTACCGGTAATTACGCTAATTGTAAGTTGTATAGTGTGTTGTAGTGTATTGCAATAATTGTAATTATCTTGATATACAGTAAGTTCTCGCGAAAACATGTAAGGGTGTCACCCCTCGTTCTGGCAGGCGGGCATGTGGGGCGCCGCGGGGGGCGCGCCGGGAGCCACGCGATACGAAATTTAGAAAATATAAATATGTAGGGTAGGTACCACCACCCTGCCTTTCTGCCGTGAAGCAGTAATGCGTTTCGGTTTGAAGGGTGGGGCAGCCGTTGTAACGATACTGATACCTTAGAAGTTATATCTCAAGGTGGGTGGCGCATTTACGTTGTAAATGTCTATGGGCTCCAGTAACTACTTAACACCAGTTGGGCTGTGAGATCGTCCGTCCATCTAAGCAATAAATAAATAAATAAACGTAATGAATTTTCCCATCTAAAGTGTAAATAGCAGAATGCCCTTGAATTTGCTTTAGGAGAATATCAGCGAGGGCTGGTGGGTGCCGGGTGCTGTGCGGCTACTGACCAGTTAAGACTCAGTCGTCACAACACGTGGCACAGCCGCCGCGGCCGCGCCCGCGCGTGCGGTCCCGGCGGGGCCAGCGCCGTGCTCCGCCCGTCCCACACCACCGTCGCCTTCTGCACCACCTTCTCCTCTCTCTCTACTTCCCTCTCCTTCTCCCTCTCTCTGTCTCTGTCTTCTCGATGGGAGCTTGGAGCGGAGTAGAGCGACCTGAAACAAGCTTCCGTCGGTGATTGTTTATGAGAAAATAAAAAATAAAAATTAACAAAGTAAATTTTATAATAAAACCAAATGAAACGTAATTAAACGTAAAAATCAATTACCATAAATTATAACATTTTCGAAGTTATAGAATATAGCGAATAAAGAATTAACGACCTTATTTGAAAATATAATTCCATAATATGTTTAAATTAAAATTCATTTGACTAATTGGCTAATACTTGAAATACCTCTCCGATTGAACGAGTGAAGAGCGGAGTACAAGTGGGGTGTGTGGGTGGGGGAGGGGGCTACCTGGTGAGCTTGGTGCGCGCGGGGCGGGGCGCGGGGGGCGCCCTCCCCCTCCGCAGCGAGTGGAAGGGAGTCTTGAGCGGCTTGGCGGGGGGGCCGGCCGCGCAGTTCAGCGTCGTCACCGTCAGCTCCACGTCCGCGAGCGGCTCGTTCAGTGCTGCGGACACAGGTGTGGGAGTGAGCACGCGCTAGCTGCGGGGGGCGGGGGGGAGCGAGACGGCGACAGTACCGGTGAACTCCTCGACGGGCTTGTCGATGGTGTCGTGGTCGATCCAGGTGAGCCCCATGTCCACCTTCTCGGCGAGGTCCTGCCAGCGGCGGCGGTTGTCGGCCGTGCCGGTGCGCAGCGGCGTCATCCAGGGGAAGGTGTCGGAGAGCACCTTGTACAGCGGCAGGCAGATCGTGTCGATGAAGCCCACCTGCATCTGCGGCAGCTCGTCCTTCTTCTCTCTGCCGAGAGGATGTTGTTTAGAGCAATTCTATACATGAAGTTTGTATGACTGTTTTTTGAATTTTGAAACAGAATAATAATTTCGACAAGACAGTCATTGTAAGTCAATCAAAAATTCAGGTCGTACGTGCACGTGTTGTAACTATATTAAAATAAAGTAAAAATAATCTTCTCTCTGAATATATCTAATTACTGAAGCGACCAGTACAAATTACAGTCCACGCTCTACACATTGGTCCTTCGAGCCGGATATGAACCAGCGACCTATGGACGGGGCGAGCTGTGCGGCCGCGCGGCTGGGAGCAGTCTCGTATTCCGGTTTGAAGGCGAGCACAGCCGCTCTGTTGTAGAACTGAGACTTAGAATTCTCGTCTCATGTTAGGCGGCGACATTTACGTTGTTAATAACTTCGGGCACGGCACAACCCGCCGGGCCGGGACTGGCCCTGGATGGACTTAGGCAGCGGTTTGGTTCTGCCCCTGGCATTGCTGAAGTCCATGGGTGACGGTAACCACTCACCATCAGGTGGGCTGTATGCTCGTCTGCTTACAAGGGCAATAAAAAAAAGACCTCGTCTTACTTGTTCATGTACTATTTTAAACCGACTGTTTGTTGTGTGTTTCCAAAATACAATTTCTATTATTAATAGCCTGCGCTGGTGGCACTGTACCACCAGCCAAGGCCACCCACTTCAGACCTGCAGGTTTATCTCGCACGGCGGTGGCTCCGGCGGCCCTCGCCCTCCACCAGCTGGCATCCCTCGCGTGCCTCTCCTCACTTTTACATTTTCCTACGTCTTAGCCCAACTATTTGTGACCGATGGAATATAAATGCTATCAGGATTTGGACAAATAATTTAAAAGTTTGTTGTTGGAAGTGAAGACAACCTGTCCATCATGGCGATGGGTTGCTGGTTGAGCTGCAGCTTCTCGAGGTCTCCCTGGTCGAAGAACTCGTCGGCGACGAGCTTGGCGATGCGATGCTGCACCTCCCACGGCTTGGCGATGGCCGACACGTCGCACGCCGTCATCATCATGCCGCACAGCACTGCACACGTCACACCGCGCGTCACGCCACGTCACGTCACGCGTCACGTCACGTCACGCGTCGAACTAGACTCCCTCTGTCTCAGTGACTTTACGGAAAACTTTGAATCACAAAAGCAGGATGTTCTCGGTTTGAGACGTTGTTTGTTTGTCCGTACGGACACAGCACAAACACTTCGACAAAATTAAAGGCAATTTCATAATTCAATGGATGTCGTTTAATGATGGGCGCCGTGTTTGGAGGCGGCGGTAACGAACTTAGCATCGAATGGAGACGTCCATTTTTATACAATTAAAGTAAAGTCGTCGCCGAGACTGAAGTGGCCGAGTGAGCCTGTGGATTAGAGCTTACACTCCTTCTTCTCCTGCGCTTGCCAGTCGAACTCCCCGTTGTCGACCAGCTCGAGGAACTTGGACTTCTTCTTGAAGTACATGGCCAGGTCGGTGGACAGGATGGCCGTCTCCACCACGTGCATCACGTCCTTGTAGTCACGCGGGGACAGCGCCTGCACCAGCACGCCACCTCGTCAAGCTCCACCCGCGATACACACTCATTGCACAGTGCTCAACGTTACCATATCGAATATATATTTATATTTAAACGAGAAACGTTACGCTCATTTACATGGCTTGTCTTCAAAAATTGGGAGCCCGAACTTCAAATGTAATCAACTCTTCGAAAGTCAACCCCAAAAACTTAAAAGCTCACCTGAAATATGTTATTACTTTCGCTGTTCAGTATCATGACGCACTGGTCGAAGTGGTGGTGCTCCATGGTGGAGGTGGAGTACAGGATGGCCAGGGGGCTCTCCGTCTTGGTCTGGAAGGCATTGTTGGTGCCCCTGTGGTCCAGGTCGTGGCACAGACAGGCGACCAGCAGCCCCAGGATCTCCAGATCGGACATGAAGCGCTCCATCTTGCCCGTCTTGAGCATCGCGAACATAGTCTGTGCGACGTTGAGGGCGTGTCGCCAGTTGTGGTACTTCACAGGTCTGTAATTCTTCTTGACGCTTAGTATCCAGCGGCAGAGGACCTGCCGTATACATATAGCACGTGTGTCATCGCGTGTCGCATCGATCGGAGGCGCGGGCTCGCGGGCGGCGGCGCATACTCACGTCGTACGGGATGTGGAACTTCTCCACCAGCTCGCACTGCAGGAACATGCGCAGCGTCGCGCGGCACGTGTCCTCGTCGGTCAGGTCGAAGTCTGGAAACGAACGACAATAAGATCAAACACGATCTCGCCACAACGAACACTTTAGATCAGGTGGTCTGCGAGCTGTTCCACCAGTGGTAGAGTATATCACACGCCGGCATGACAACGTACACAATCCGGTACGGTAATCACGTATCCTGGATTTGTAGAGAGTATTAAATGGTGGGCAGCGGCTTAGCTCTGCCCCTGGCACTGTGCTGACGTCCATGAACAACGGTAACAACTCACCTGATGGTGAGCTGTATGCTCGTCTGCCTACAACACTTGAAGGCCACAGAAAACTCACCGTGAAACTGGAAGCTATACAAGTTGTAGGTCTCTGCGGAGGGGATCTCGTCCTGGCACAGCTTGCTGGTGTCCTCGGCCGACGCCGTCGCGTGGTACGACAGGCACTCCAGCGCCACCTGCCGACAACGCGACCCGCACTCACGCACCGATCTACATTTAGCCTATAGCCTTATAGTCTCCGTACCCTCTCGCATCAATCGGTAGCAATTAATAAGGGTCATGCTTGCCGTGCTCAGTAGCAACAAGTCGTGGTGATGGTGTTTGACTTCTGCAGGGGCACCGTGTTGAAGAAGCGGTGGGGCGTGCGAGAAAGGGTTTATTTCCCTCCGCACAAGTCCGTCGTCGAGTCGGGGACCGGCACAAAGTCCGAATACTGTCCCCCTAAGTACCGGGAATTCCTTCCGTATGCTCTCCTAAGCGCATCTAATGGTTATCGACTGTGGCAGGGGGGCGGCCGGGGATGCGCTCCTTGTCTCGGTTGGACATATTTATTTCATGGGTGGGCGAACTCACGGTCTATCTGTTGATAAGTAGTTACCGGAGTTAAGCATATCAGAACGTGTCGCCTTTAAGACATGAGGTCGAAGTATCAAATGTAGTGCAGGACAGTTGTCTCAACATTCAAACCGGAACGAATGACTTGGAGGTAGAAATGAATAGTAATTCCGAAGTCCAACAATTTCGTCCTCAACCAAAAAGTATGGGACGTTCGATAATCGCAGCAGCTGCGCGCTCGTCTGCCTGTTCAGAGCATTGTAGTTGACTCCTGGGACACGCATATTTCTACATCCCGATATGATCGGCCTTTAGCGTGTTCTTGCATGGGAGGGTTTCTGTAGTAACTTACCTTTTGTTTGGCCATCAGCTTGCAGGCGTTCTCATACATCTGCGTGTTGTGTATGCCAAGTCCACAGAATATAGCGAACGCTTCGAATATCGACACGTCGCCCTCCGTGAACTGCGAACCGTTTTCCTGAAAATAACGAACATCAACTGAATTAAGTCATCGTGGCGTCGTGGTCAGCATACGGCGGGCCCAATGAGGGAGGGGGGTGGTCACCGCACACTGTGAGACGTATTGAAGAACCACGTCCACGGTCCGCGAATATAGTGTCAAGTAATATTAAATAAATTTGCGTAATTTTTGGTGGTCGGGTATTTTGTATCGGAATAGATAGGTTTTTTTTTATTGCTTAGATGGGTGGACGAGCTCACAGCCCACCTGGTATTGAGTGGTTACTGGAGCCCATAGACATCCACAACGTAAATGCGCCACCCACCTTGAGATATAAGTTCTAAGGTCTCAGTATAGTTACAACGGCTGCCCCACCCTTCAAACCGAAACGCGTTACTGCGTGTCGTGAGGTCGCGTGCGGCGGTGCTCACCTTGTTGATGAGTTGCGCCACTCCGATGACATCTTTATTGGCATTGACGATGGGCATGCACAGCAGGGTCCGCACGCCGGCCGAGTTCTCCCCGGCGGACATGTTATTGTCATGCAACCATTGCTCCACGTCTGATATGTTTAGTGATTTGTTTGAGCGGGCCACCTGGAAACAGTTACCAAGGTTGGGGTAATGAACACCAGTTTTGATAATGGTAGGAAAGGTTTTTTGGATCATTTATTTTCATTAAAATACACAAATGTGCATCTTCTTAAAGTTACTTCATTGTATTTCAAATCAAATCAAATCAAATTTTTTTATTCAACATAAATGAAAGTACATACTTGTTGAACGTCAAAAGAACTACCGCCAATTCACAAGAACTAGCCTCCGTCCTGAGAAGAACTGGCAAGAAACTCAGCGGGCATGTCTTTTTCTTTTTTCTCTTTTAATATTTGATAAAAAAATTAAATATTCATTTTTACCATGAGTATTATAACGTAACAATTACTACAATATTGAAATGCCTGGAGCGAGCAACTCATTCCCACTTTGTGCAATCTTCTAGATAATCATTGACTTTATAGTCAGCTTTATTGCACAGATGTTCTTTAATCGTTTTCTTAAACCTATGTATTATTAAATTAGTTTGTCTAGACATGTTGTTATTTATTGCTCTCTCAATCAGTAGATCACTACTATATAGTGATGTCTTGTAGTTTTGAACTACTCCATACACCGGATCCATAATAGAATCTTGCACGAAATTTAAATAGAATATTTTTCAAATAATGCAAATTTAGTACCGGCAAGAGACTGGAATAAAAACAAAGATGGCGGAGACTGGAATAAAAAAGAGGTAATTTGGACAAAGCTGACAGGCCCCCCACATGTATTTAAATTCTCAGTTAAAGTCAAAATGGCCGAAGCTGTCACATCACGTTGATCGCGTCAGTAACCAATGGATTGATCAGTTCTGTCCAAGAATTTATACAAGACTGTTGTAGTGGTTCGCAACGTGCTCTGACTTAGACGATGAACTCCAAGAGTTTTAGGTTACATTGCTGGCAATTTAAAGTCCAGTTCAAACCAAACAAAAAGTATAACAAAATTAAGTAGTTTTGCGTGTTTGTGTTGTGTATTATGTTTTCGTCAGCCCACTGAGTTGCTCGCCGGATTTCCTCAGTGGGTCGCGTTTCCGATCCGGTGGTAGATTCTGCGAAGAACTGCTCTTGCTAGGGTCCGTGTTAGCAACATCGTCAGGTTTCAGCTCCGTGAGCTCACCTATTAGCTAAGGTTACGCTGATATGGTCTCTCTAGACTATCAGCTTAATTAGAAAAAAAAAAGTTTTCGTCTCACTTTGTTTAAAAGTGAATGATTTTATTTTATAATACGACAGTATATGGTTTTGTGGGGGCACTGACCGCGAGTGCGATGGCGGGCAGCGCGTCGTGCGGGCGCCGCGGCGCGCCCAGCTCGAACACCGTGTGGAAGCGGGTGGGCGCCGGCGGGGGCAGGGCCGCCAGCCCCCCGCGCCGCGCCCCGCCCCCCGCCGCGCCGCCCGGCCGCTGCACGATGCGCTCCAGGTGACTCTGCAACACATGCCCATGTTTTACCCACTGTACCCACCCCCTTCTGTAGTCCTAATTTGAGTACTAAATAGAATGGATAAGTGCGCACAAGTTGGAATACAGATGGTATTACTGGCTAGCTAATCTAATCAAGCTAAGCTAATCATAACAAAACTAATCGTAGTTCCTCATCACATATAGGAAGGCTTCGGAAGAAAGCTCACGTCCAGTTGAGCTCCAACTTCAGCGCACAAAGGTAATAAACAGGAAGTGGTTGTCAAGCATGGAACGGAAACTGTGACATTTTACGTATTTAATAATCAGCAATTTTCGTTGTTTTTATATTTTCAGAATATAAGACATTCACGTAGCTTCAAGTAATCAAAACACAAAAATAAATCTTTAAAGGTATTTGTAGAGCACAAGTGTATGAGATCAACTTACAGATTCACAATGGTCGGTGTCGAGTATGAAGACAGCACATCGCTCGCACTTGAGCAGATCCCTGGCTTCTGTCATGATCTTGGTAACCAAGCACTCCAAATTGCTCTGCTCTTCGAAGATGCTCCGCGCCAGAGCAAGGAGGATCTGGTTCCTCTTGTATTCGAGTACCGAGGACTCAAAGAGCTGAGCGTTCTGGATGCCTATACCGCAGAATGTGAGGTATCGCCTGAACACTTCGACGTCTCTGGACGAGAATTCTTTCGAGCCTGAATGAGAAAGCTTTCTTTGTAAATATGTGTACAGTCTCTGGTTCCCAAAGTAGTACAAGGAATACCAGTGCGGGGCCACGGGACCGCGTGTGATTTGTCCCTGATTATTTGTTGTTGAAGTGAAACTTCTTTGGGCGCGTTGAGAGTAAAATTTAACTCACGATAGATTCGTTACGGCTAGAGAGAAAATATACAATTTAGGAAGAGCGAGAGTGAGAAAATAGACGGAGCGATTCGCGAACCACTCAACCTTGGAAAGACAGAGAAAGCGAGCTGGGTCGTTTCTTTTATACACATTCTGTTTACGGGTATCGGCCACTAAATGGCTTGTTATTAGTTTCTCATTGCTCCTGTAGATGGCAGTAACGTATCAACTATGTTATATATTATTTTTAATGAAGAATTATAAAAAAATATATATATATAAATGGTGAAGAGGTCGTTTCTCTTATACACAGTTTGGGAAAGCTTATCTTGAAAATGTCGTAAGCGAGATTCAGGCATCTGTCAAATATCTTGCGTTATATGATGACTACCCGCCACACACAGCATTCCCTTTTACAAGAGAAATTTGATTTAAGGATTAAAAATAGTGAAAACAACAATACTACACACCGCAAAAGAAGTTTCACTTCTTTCACATGCACCAAGTTGCACATGTACCATTTTTTTAATATTTATGTACCGGTCGTGGTTCGTAAGTGTGGTCCAACGTGCTCTCGGACGTGTGCTCACCATCAGTCTTGTTGATGATCTGTGCGACGCCGACCACGTCGCCTTCGTAGTTGCAGATCGGCATGCACAGGATGAGCTCCGTCTTGTAGCCAGTCCGAGCGTCGATCTCGCTGTTGAACCTGAACCGAGTGACCGATGCCCGTCAGAACAATGCTCCTCTCGTTCCATGGGTCATTGGCTTATACACAGATTGGTAGAACACGGATACATTCTACTGACTGTTGCTAAATACATGAAACAACACCCGTTTGGTCAAAATAGCCAGGACCATATGTGGACCCTCCACCTAGATGACATTATGAACGAATCTACAAGTTTTTTATTACATGAAAAATATAAAGTAAAATAATAAACAATTTAAACGGTTTTTTTTAATCATTAGATAGTTTAGCCGACACGGGCAGATGACATCAATATTATGTGATGTTCGGATCCAATAGTTACGACAACTCGTTTCCCTTTGCTTACCTCAACACAATCACTACATAGTATAAAACAAAGTCGCTTTCTCTGTCCCTATATCTGTCTGTCCCTATGTTATATGTTGTTATATATATAATCTGGTTTTGCTGGTCTCTCAGCATAAAATAACAACAATCAACGTCCATAGAGGTTGTAATGTTGGACTCACTCTCCAGTTGAGCCCGTGAGCTCAACTACCGGTCCGCGCGTAGCTAGAATAGCCCCTTAGGCTACCAACGAATAGGTAGGGGGAAAAAATTTGGAACCGATACTAATTTTTCATCTGCAATTCGTTACGTTTATGTCAAGAATTATGTGGTTTGGAGTCCATACAAATAAAATTAATTTAAAGGTAATCCGAAAATGAGGACACAAGAAAGCTGCATTGGCCAACCTTAAAATAAATGAGTATATGTGTGTATAAATTAGTTGCGCTACGACCTGGCGCCCGCGGACGTACCGCATCACATTAGCTGTTCAAGCGTTCACTGTATCGTGATATATTTGATCGCTGTGAGCTTATGTGGGATCTTGCCTGGGATCGGCGTATGCATTCCTGATGTTGATATGGTTTTTGGTCTGAGCTGCGAGTCCCGCCACTCCCACACCGAACCGGATTTTGATCTCTTGTGTCCTGGCCGTCCGAAGCGCATCGTTCAGTTCTGAAAGGGAAGAGAACAGATATAAGAACGCGAAAAGAGAAGTACGCTGACTTTGTATAGCCGATGGCTCTTTATGATTATATTTATATGTCAGAGACGGTCATTAGTTTAATAGTTAAACGAAACGCAGCACGATTGCGTGGTATGTGAGGAATGTAAATCTACACGAGGACCTAAATCTAGAATCGAAGAATTACGGAAGCAGGGAAGCGTCAGAACGGTACTTGGAAAAATCGGCGCGACACAATAACCCTCTTATTATGGCCACCGTTAACTACATATCCGACCCAGGTGACGGGGCAACGCAAAGCAGCCGTCTCCCAAAACATGTGATATCGGATCATGAGGATTCACTGTCGGTGCTTTTAGGCCTCTCAATCAACGGTCACCTTTTTCGTCGAACACGTCGATTTCGACGACCGAACTAACCCATAGACGCAGCCCGCTGAGTTTCTCGAGCGATGAGTAGAAGGGTTATTTTCATAATGTCCTGAAAAGCACCCCACTATTTTTTTACAATAAAATCATTTTTTCTTACACTATTTTTAATTCAAATTTATTAAAATTTATTTTCTATTTTTTAGTTGGATTTTGTATAAAAGCGTATTTTGTTAGTTTTTTTTATATATACTTTTCATTTTTTAGTTAAATTTCAATTTTTTCAATATTTTTTTAAATGTTGAATTGTCATCGATTCTTAATAAGTATACCAAATTTCGAGTTAATCCGACGTTTTGAAGGGGGACAAAATCATGTTCAAAGATTCCGTTACATACTAACTAACATACGTACGTCTGAATATAATAAAAGCATATTAATTACATTAAAGCTTCGTACGCTGTTGCATTTAATTTTAGTTTGAGTGTCGAATTCCACAAGAACTCGGTCTTTACTCCATGCTAACTATTTATGTATAAAATATGTCTTTGTGAAAATGGTCCACTAATCATAGAAAATATTTGTAATGTAAGTTGGCACATTGCACAAAACTAAACAGAGAGCTAATATATTGACGAGTGTCAAAATACTATGTCAATAACGTGAATATATGCGAGGTTGCGCGGCGGCCGTGCTCACGTGTCGGCGGAGTTTGTTAGCGTGAAACTGATTTACGAGTTTTAGCTCACACATGCTCATATTTTATCGCGTACGTGAAGGAATTGTGATTTCACGGGCTTGGAATTATTGTCGTGCTATATTTTTTTAGATACTTGGTGATGGATTAGTTTAATGATGTTATTTACTTAAGAAACTTAATAAGGAGCAGATCTATCTCATCCGTGTAATGGGGTTCAGAAGCGACCTAAAGTGATTCGGATGTAGATGTATCTATATCTATACTAATATTATAAAGCTGAAGAGTTTGTTTGGTTGAACGCGCTAATCTCAGGAACTAATGGTTCGATTTGAAAAATTATTTCAGTGCTAGAATTTATTGAGGAAGGCATATATAGCATCACGGTAAGGCCAATACAAGTGGAGCACCAATAAATAATGTTTCAAAATAGACTTAAATAGCTCCTTAACATTATATAATTCAAACATATTTTCACTTTCTACATAAATGAAGTGGGGGATAAAATTTAGCGTTATGCTAAAGTAACTATTCCACGTGAACGGCGTCGCGGGCAAAGGCTAGTCTATCTATATATATATAAACGAATTGCTGTTCGTTAGTCTCGCTAAAACTCGAAAACGGCTGGACCGATTTGACCAATTTTGGGCTTGAATTATTTGTGGAAGTTCAGAGAAGGTTTAAAAGGTAGATAAATATGAAAATGCTCGGAATTAAATAAAAATAACAATTTTGTTTTTCCTCTGATGTGTCCCCCCGTGTCGCGTCGGACGGATTTCTTTTGTTTGTTTTAAGTTTATTTTATACCAAAGTTTAGATCTTTTATTTATCGATTTAGGCATTACGAAATCTGCCGGGTCAGCTAGTATATCTATATATATAAAAATGAATTGCTGTTCGTTAGTCTCGCTAAAACTCGAGAACGGCTGGACCGATTTGACCAATTCTGGTCTTGAATTATTTGTGGAAGTTCAGAGAAGGTTTAAAAGGTAGATAAATATGAAAATGCTCGGAATTAAATAAAAACAAACAATTTTGTTTTTTCTTTGATGTGTCCCCTTTCGGACGGATTCCTTTTGTTTTTTTTAAGTTTATTTTATATAAAATCAATTGAGGCACTAGGAACTAGGAAGTCTGCCGGGTCAGCTAGTAAACAATAAAACATTGACTACGACGATTACGCAATGTGTATACTCGGCGTTACACATAATGTTATTCGTACGTGCACTTTAAGTAATAAATATGCAAATATTGTTCAGTGTCAATATTGGATGAAGACAATGTGCTGTCAAGTACACGTTACACGAAGATATACGTGACCCTATTGTGTGGACCACCCGCTGGCCTAGGATTTTAGCCGTGCTGTTTTTGTGTCTATCAAAGTGGTATTGTGCTTCGTAAGCTAATATTAAACATTGTGCCTGTTATTAATATAAAAGGGCTGAAAATTATTCTTTAGGCTATCTCTTTCGATCGCCGGGAGAACGAAAGGGACAGCACTTTTCTCAGTTAATACTACGTGCGTAAAGCCTTACGACTACGTTGACGAGTATTGAGATTATTTTTGCGATATCATTGTCGATTAAAATATCGTTTTTATAAAAAGAAGCTTTTGCCCGCAACTTCGTCCGCGTGGAATAGTTACTTTGGCATAACGCGAAATTTTACCCGCCTCTTTATTTATATAGAAAGTGAAAATATTTTTGAATTATAGAATGTTAGGGAGCTATTTAAGGTACCAAAATCACGCTTTTTAACCAACTTCAAAAGAGGAAGTTATCAATTCGACCACAACTTATTATCTATGTATGTTCACCGATTTCTCGAGAATGCTTGAACCGATTCTGATTATTCTTTTTTCAAAGCTCTCAAAAGGGAAAACCGATTGTGAAACATTCTTTATTGGTGCTTCGCTTGCATTGGTCTTAGCGTGATCTTATATAGTCTATAGCCTTCCTCGATAAATGGGCTATCTAACACTGAAATTGTGTCGGATCAAATCGGCCCAGTAGTTCCTGAGATTAGCGCGTTCAAACAAACAAACTCTTCAGCTTTATAATATTAGTATAGATAATGTATATTGATTGTTGTTGCTTCGTGGTAGCCACAAGCAGGTCGGTGGTGCCCACATGGTACCGTTACACGGATAAGGCGGGGCGGGCCCAGCCAAGCAGTTTTATGTTATTACATTGAACCGCCGCGGCGTCGGTATTGTGGTTTATTTGTAAGTTATATTTTACTTGAGTTTAAGTTGACGACGCGTCTGAATCAGACGTGAAATCGCATTTCATTTTTTAAATGTAAATCTAAATTTCCCTTTCCTTGTATGTTCAAGATGCTGGTCTCTCTACCTGTATCTCGTGTGACATCGAAGAGTTTCGCCTGTAGGTACCGGTTTGGAGGCACGCCCTTCGCTAGGAATAGACTACCTCGATCTGCTGACGTCAGCAAACACACGTTTACCAGGATCTGAAAGAAGAAAAGCACATTTGAATGTGTAGGTTGAGATGGTGATTATTAGTGTGACTAATGTGATTAATAACGTGTGCTCCACGTGTGTGTGTGGCGGGTAGGGGTTGTGAGGGGCTCCTCTAATGATCTCGAATCATTCAGTTCATCGACAGGGCGTCGCCTTTGTTTTATTTCATAAATAAACTTTGATATAATAGACTTTGTAAAGAATACAATAATACGTTCTTTTTAATTCCTACCTATGCTGATAGCCTTGAGAGGCTATTTCAGCTTCACCCTAACGTTTGTAGGTGAGCTCACGGGGCTCAACCGGAGAGTTGCTAACATTGACTCTAGCAAGAGCAGTGCTTCGCAGAATCTACCACCGGATCGGAAACGCGACCCACTGAGAAGATCCGGCGAGAAACTCAGTAGGCGGTGTCTGTGGATTAATTCACTCGTCGAGCCCTTCGTCGCAAGCGACGGGTTCGACGAGGACGGTGACCGGTGCTTGTGGTGCCTAAAAGCGCCGTTAATGGATCAAAAAATGATCTAATTAAAGTTCAGATCGTGGGCTCGTCCAGCCATGCATGCAATAGGTACGAAAATGCGAGAAACTTCTCAGGAGTTCCACTAACAACAGCAACAACAACGGCACAAAGATTAAACCTAATTGAATAAACAACACTCCAAAGAACAGATCGCCTCTAACATAGTGATGATTTTTTAAATAACAAAATGGTAAAAAATAGTCTAATAAAAATATAATCTGTCTGTGTGAGGCCTGAGAAGTTTTTTAGTAAAGGTAGTGATATTTGTGTAGAGAATAATTATTTCACTCGAGGAGTACCAACGAGTAAACAGAATGAAACTCGGCTATAAGACTACACTTCAGAAGTCCTGTGAGCGCGTGGGTCGTAGGGACGATTCGGGGGCTTAAGAGCATTTACTACTTGTTGAGTTTCCTTGATAATCCTACGTTATTCAAAGTATTACGCAAACAAAAAGCCCTAGGAAGCCCCGAGGAGCTTCGAAAGCTTAAAAGTAATACCGAATCATTTTAATTGGGAAAGTATTTTGAAACAAAGTGAAGTTTCGAAAAGTCTGGTATTTTGAGTGACGTTTGATCTGTAAAAGGTATTACAACTGTAGGCAGCTCCATTTATAAATACATTTGACAATATTGAACGAGAATTGAACTTGCACCATTTGACAGTATTGACCACTGAGTTACCGTTGTGGTCAGAAGATAAAAAACTTTATTTGTGGAAACTGGCTGACACAACAGGGCTTTAAGGGTTGAAGATTGGGGCGATTCGACCGGTCTGTTCCTCAATTACAAAATAAGAGATTTAGGACGCGTTGGGAATCCGCACAAGTTTACTGGTTGCAGGACCTCTTGTGAGGAAGCACGGGTAGGTACCACCACCCTGCCTATTTCTGCCGTGAAGCAGTAATGCGTTTCGGTTTGAAGGGTGAGGCAGCCGTTGTAACTATACTGAGACCTTAGAACTTATATCTCAAGGTGGGTGGTGCATTTACGTTGTAGATGTCTATGGGCTCCAGTGACCACTTAACACCAGATGGGCCGTGAGTTCGTCCACCCAAAAAGCAATAAATAAATAGAACAGTCGGTACCGCCGTCCTGCCCACATGCGATTAAATAAAACATCTTACCTTGTGACACAAGACATCTATATCCAGTTCGTTGGCGACGTCCTTGATGAGGTCCATGAATAGATCCGCTTCATCCAGCTGCCTCTGCGCCGAGCTGCTCGGCGACCGCGACCTCTAAGTATAAAACCGTAAATTAACACATAACAATATCCCAAAGTATTTGCTGACTCATAGCCAGCAAGGTACTAAGTGGTTCTCAGAGTCTATGAACTGAGCCGCATGACTGCTTCATGATGGTTCAAGAATTAATTAAAAGATACGCATATGTGTCCGAAGCTTCCTCCAACCGCAGTGCATTTTAATTTTTTTCTTTATAGCCCTTGTATGCAGACGAGCTTACGGCCCACCTAATGGTGAGTGGTTAACGTCGCCCTTGGATTTTAGCAATGTCAGAGGCAGAGCCAAGCCGCTGCTTACCATTAAGCACTCTCCGCAAGCCTCGTTTGAAGAAGGACTTTCATATCATACGGGCCTGGTACTTACTATTCATACTTTGTTTTACCCAATTACTACCCACACCTCCTAGACTAGACGAAGGTGGCAGAGCCGGTTTTGAGTTGGTGCAGATAGGATGGCCAATGTTTTGAGGTCCCCTAATGAGGGCCTAATCGGTTACCGCTTAACACAAGATGGGATGTCACCGTGTGACCGTGTGGTCGTACCGGTGGTACCCCTCATGATCGAAGTAATTCAAGCATATATTACGTGTATTATTATTTTGATAAAATGACACCTGGTGGTGGACCACGTCGGTAGCACGAGCGTCTCATGTTTTTTTTTTTTTTTTTGTGATTGNAGATGTACCACGAACACAGAAACAACAAAAGGAAACAAAACAAATAAAAACTTCCAGAAAGAGCACTTAGTCGGCAGATGTACCACGAACACAGGCCGCGCGAACAATGGCCGGGCTAACAAAAGCCGGGCGAACAAAGACCGGGCGATCGAGTGGACGATGAGCACGTCCGCACGTGACGGGTGCCTCTATCGGAATGCGTCTCATGTATCAGTGTTACGCCGGTAAGAGTAACGCTTTCTGTCATCAAATAGCAAAAACAAATATCAAATGAACTAGTAATATCGAGAAGGCTCGAGAGGTGTAACGCCATCTATTATCAAATAGCGTAAACACATATCGAAACGACTGGTCCTACCGGGAATGTTCTCGATAATTTTAGACTTGTCGGGTCGACTATAAAAGCATTGCAGAGATGACATGAAGCCAGTTAGTAATCGGTTCTATTCGAAGCGAAGCAGCGAACGGATCTCCTGAAGCGAAGCGGAAAAAGTGTTTATTAGAGTTTTAATTTTTACTTCGGCGAAAAGTTTATGTATACCGAGCCCCAGCGCGTTACATTAGTATTGGTGGACCACATTTCGAATGTACGACCGTCCGATAATAGCACCGATAGTGCCACCGCCGCGCCGAGTCAAAACAATTTTATTTAAGTGTTTAATTAAAAGTAGAAGCAGAGAAGTTTCCTAGTTGCAAGTTTTCCCGCAAAGTAATTATCACTCGAGCGTCGTAAACTTTTATACAAATCCGTATTCTGTTTGTGCATTCAATATTTGCAGCTAAATTTGTAAACTACTTTTTAGCTTAATAACTTGCTGGTGGAAGGGCGTATTAGACAACATGAGTAGGAAGCACTGCGTGAATATTTCTGTAGCGAAGCAGTAATTCATTTCGGTTTGATGGGTGGGGCAGCCGTTGTAACTATACTCAGACCTTAGAACTCATATCTCAAGGTGGGTGGCGGCATTTGTGTTGTAGATGATGATGAGATGATGGTATGATGATGTCTATGAGCTGCAGTAACCACTTAAGACCAGGTGGGCTATGAGCCTATCCACCCATTTAAGCAAAAAATGTGTCCTGTTTGGCGGGTGGGTCCGCCGTCGTACTGTACCATTGAGACCTGGTCCACGTGTCTGGAGGTGGCATTCCTGTTCTAGTAGTGGTGGGGGAGCATATGCTTTGATACTGTGTAATTTGCACCGGGAACATATAATACCAGGTAAGAACAGTTACGAAATGCAAACCCCAAAAGTCGTCTTTAATAGAGATACTTTTTATCTTTTTATTGCTTAGATGGGTGAACGAGCTCACAGCCCACCCTGTGTTAAGTGGTTACTGGAGCCCATAGACATCTACAACGTAAATGCGCCTTGCGCGTAAATACCTTGAGATATAAGTTCTAAGGTCTCAAGTTTAGTTACACCGGCTGCCCCACCCTTCAACCTGGACTAACTGGTACTAAACAAATCTACGGAAAACTAGTATATTCATCATCTACGCTTTTCATTATTATTACAATATTCAGTAGGGAGGAATATAATTTACAAAGAGCGTCCCAGGACACGGCGCGGCGGCGGAGACCTTCTGACGAAAAATGAGGACTCGAGTTTTTGTCGCTACAATTCAATTTAACCTTTCGAATCTTAATTGGAGTAGGGGGCTTTAAGAGAAGAGTGTATTTATTACTTTAATTAAAATTAACGGCTTTTCGTGAAATCATTTATAATTTTCTTTCTTTTTCTTGTCTCTAACCTTAAATACAACGAAGCATGAACTGGATGTAGCCGGAAGCTTTGGTTGCTAATCAATCAATCCAATTATAATAGTTTACTTCTATACTAATATTATAAAGAGGAAAGATTTGTTTGTTTGTTTGTATTGATTGAATAGGCTCCGAAACTACTGAAACGTTTTGAAAATGTTTTTCACTGTTTGGAAGCTACACTATTCCCAAGTGACAAAGGCTGTAATCTTTTTTGAAAAAAATTTGGGGTCCTTACTAAAACTCCAATAATGTAACCCAAGGTGTAAAAAAATTACCTAAAATATTCTTTACATAGCGTGCCCTGCAAAAACTATTGATGATAGAATAAAATAATGTACTACGACTTTGTAGAACACATTATTATTTAATTTTTTGTTAGACCCGAGCGGAGCCGGAGCGAGCCGCTGGTTTTTAAATAATAACAATGCTGTTGTAACAAACAGCGTATCAGAGAACTATTTAATTTATGTCATAGCTGGAAGACGTGGCTCTGCGCCCGGGCTCCCTCCTGCTGCTGCAGACCTCCCGATCACGCATCCAGGGGTTACCTTCAGCTTATTTTCCTCTCTCTTCTTCAACCCGTGTCCACCCAATGTTGAGCGTAGGTCTTCTCGAATGCACCCCATTCTCTTCGATCTCTTGCCTTTCGCATCCAGTCTCTACCAACTACTTTGACCAGGTCATCGGTCCACCTCGTTTGGCTGTCTGTCCACGTTACGACGTCCAGTACGAGGTCTCCACTCCAGTAATTTTGTGCGCCACCGATTGTCAGTGCGGCGGCATATATAGCCGGCCCACTTCCACTATTTCCGAGCAAACACTTTGGATATTGTCAGTCAAACCAGTTCTTCTGCGGATTTCGGTGTTGCGCATTTTATCCCGTAGAGAAACGCCTAACATAGCCCGTTCCATGGCTCTTTGCGTGACTTGCAACTCATTTTCCTATCAAACTACCCTTAACTTCTTGTGTACTGATGTGAGGCCGCTGGTTTTAGCAATAACACTTTTCGATTTAAGCGTCACATCGCTTTCCCAGTTCAGTCGAGAGTTGGCGGCATTCTGGCTACGATGTAAAATGTTTTTGATTATCATCTCCCTCGGAAAGAATCCCTTAAGCGTTTCGCTGTAACTTCAAACTAATTATCAATGAAAACTTTAAAAAAGTTAAAGAATTTCACTGGAACCTTCAAGAAATCTTTACTTCAGAAAATATTAAACAAAGATGACTTTATACATACGGGAAAAGAATAGCGCTGCGTATCGTCTGCGAAATGTGAGATCAAGCAAGCTCCGCCGCTTACCGTATGAACACATGCATACATACACACGTGCGTACACATATACATATGTATGAACATAAAAATATTCATACTTCGACTCCGTAACGCCTAAATTAGTTTCAGCCCAGATTGAATTCCTTTTCCGAGGAATTTCGCTCGAGCGGTACGTGAGTGGGATAATCGAGCAGCCCTCATTGTGGGGCGCTGATTTATTAATATTTCTATCATTTAAATTAAATACGATTTTATTATCAGCGCCGATGGGAACCGAGCCCACAGCCCGTCTGTTATTAAGCGGTTACTGGAGATCAAGGACATCGCGACATATGAATATGAATGTAGACGACCTCCTAAAAACGATACGACGATTGCTTCGCGTCAGAAATATGCAAAAGTATTACCAAACCACAACATAATAATAAGTAGAATCTATTTAATCCCTTTACGTCCTAAAGGTAGAAACTGGAGCTTGAAAAGTCTGTCACAGAACCTTGGGATGTTGTAATTATAAATTAAAAGCGAACGTGAGCTTTCTATTCAAGTAGAAGGGGGCGCAGCGCGTTAGGGGATGTTGCACGGAAGTTAAATTAAGAAAAGCATTTAAGGAATTATTCAAATGATTTAGTGACGTAATTTCCACTTCGATAAAGCGGCACGACACGAGAACCCTCTCATCGTGGCCGCCGGTAACTACATTCCCGATCCTGCGGACAGAATGGAAAGCAGTCGACGTCGCCCAAAACACGTCATCTCGGATCCTCCTGATCCACTAACGGTGCTTTTAGGTACTTCAAGCACCGGTCACCGTTCTCGTCGAACCCGTCGCTTGCGACGAAGGGCTCGACGAGTAAATTAACTCTCAGATACAGCCCACTGAGTTTCTCGCCTGATCTTCTCAGTGGGTCGCGTTTCCGATCCGGTGGTAGATTCNTTTTTTTTTTCGGGCCGGGGGCCGAACCTCCTACGAGGTCCCCGCGCCTAGGGGGCGCGCGGGGTATGTGAGACTCAACGATCTGCAGGTGTTGAGAGCAGATCGCGGGCCCAAGGATTTTAGGGCCCACCCACTAAACGACTCCCCTGCACTCTTACACCCGACGTCCGATCTCCGTCCGGGGTCAGAACCCGTTCAGAGTAGGGGGTTCCCGCGGTCAACACTACAACCAGACACGCGGCGCCACCCCGAGGACGCCCGACTGACGGGTCGTCGAGGCGATAGTCGACGACCAACGACGTCAGTCTCCGCGGTACGGCGGCCCTACCAGGCCGCCCG